ATGAAATTGTGTTCTTAAAATTGTTGTCGAAGCTTTTAAATAACTGATTATGAATGGGTTCCTGTTTAAATCTGGTGTATATTACATCAATACATTGCTTAAGAGTTTCAATCATAACTCTACAGTCAACGATCATATTTATACTAGGAAAAATTGGAGTCTTCAACGACAGGTAGAGGCAGATCTAACAATTTTAGGACGGACCACTCTTGTTACTCAGCTCAATTTCATATAATGTTATATCTATATGATCGGTTTCTAATTTTCGAACATTGTGGTACTAATCTCGCAGTTTATAATAAGTTGAAGACACCGTGAAATTAAACAGACGATTTTGAGGTGAGAAAGATTTTGTCACAAAGTTTATTTGTTCTTTTTTTATCAAGCTGAACAGATTACAGAGTTCCACCAGATTACTTAGATGGTATCTTTCACAGCTATGGTACTTTTAGAACTTGCTGAGTTAAATTTCATACAGGTTATTAAGAATAAAGCAGGTATTACTATTCCTAATGAGTTCGTTCCCAGACTTCGATAGGTAATGATAGAATATTTGACTTTTACTTGAAGTTGTTGTTCTGTGGTAACACACTTTGTTTTCTGTCAGAAATAATACTCAGATGTTCCTTCTTGAGGTGGCTTTACTCGGTTTTGGTAAAAATAAAATCCAATTCTTTTATGGATCAATTTTACCACTCTTGCCTTGTTCCTTAAAAAAAGGGTATCAAAAATAACCCAATTATTATGGTTCATTCTGCTCATTTTACTTATATGTAAGGCTAAACAACCCAAAAATCAAGGTCGCTCTGTGCTGCAGTTGCAGATCTTTCTAAAATTTTGCAGAAAGATAAATCTTTGTTTGTTACTATAGGGTTTTCCTAAGAAGCAGTAAAGTTTTAATGGCAACATTTTATGTAAGAAAATGATCGCAACATACAATAAATTGGTTATCATTCATGCTTTTACACTTTTTATTTTCTTTTTAACAGCTATAGATGCTTTTGCTCTGCCAGAAGATAAAATAATGTCGCAAAACAAAATAGATACAACATTTACTCCAAAATTAAGCCGGCAAATATTAAGATGAAATGTACGAGTAAGTTTCATTAACTTGCTGGCGGCAAAATTTCCTGAGGAGAAATGTTCCCGTGATACTCCTTTTAAGAGCAGTAAACACCGCCGATCATTGCATAAATTTAAAGGTATGTTATCTAGCAAAAAATCTTCCTTCCGCCTTACATTCCCCGAGGTCCTCAAAAACCAAATTGGAATTCATAAACAGTTCTCAGTACGTAATGTAATGCAACTTCTTTAAGAAAACCTGGAGAGACATGGTTAATTTATGAACTAGTCAGTAAAGATAACTTAGTGATATCTTTACTACACAAGGGGCTGAAACTCATACACTCGTGATGACCGCTGCAATCTGACGTAGAAATAAGATGTTTAACGGAAAGGTTTTCAATCTTCCATGCAACCGCTTCAAGGCAAGCATTACAGCAGCCAAAGGCATGACTTGGATGTTCAAAGTTTTAGTTTTGTCCTTAAAGGAAGTCTTTGATCTAAAATTTCCGCGTCACGTGGTGTATTAAAAAAAAAAACGGATATCGATGAAATTGTTATTAGAAACAAAGAAAAAACCTTATTTATATCAATGTCATAAACATCATGATTAGCATTTTCAGCTTTTATCCATTTGGAAAAGTATATATTTTTGAAGCATCTGACGAAGGAATACAAAGTAACGGTGTAGAATTAAAAATTAGACGAATTGGTCATAATTTGTGTTGAAAAACGTTGAAGAATTTTTCGTTCTCCGACGGGGTCTCGTACGTTAAGTTGCTAAAAACAAAATACTGCATTTTCGGTTTTTGCATGAACTTTTTTTCCACTTGGAATAAACACCTGGAAGGAGGAATTAAGAAACACACCCCCATCAATACGCTCAGTCGTGTATTATCGTCGCTGCAATATTTTATTTGATAGACACACTAAATTTTGTTTTAGGAAACGAAGCGAAAAAAGAATTGATCTTTTTCTTTCATGTCACATTACACTGGTGTTTATGCATCTTTCTTTATTTTGGGCGAAATTGAAAGTTATCAGTACGTTGTAATCATTAGTTTCTGTGATTTCCACGTATGGTTGAGATCCATTATCGTTGAACTTTTTGCGGAAAAATCATTGACATTTTTTCTTCATTGTTTTTTGACGGCCAAAACAACTTTAAAGATAGTTGTTGGGGAACGAAATGTATGAAAGATGCGATAGCAATAATACAGAAAGGAAAATTGAAATGGAAACATGATCACATTTGCCTTCTAGTTACACTAAGTTATTGTGAGATTTGTTATATTGTCTCATTGGGTAGCCCCAAGGAAATATACGCTTTCAGTCATCTTGTAATGCAGATATAGGCACTCGGCTCACTTATCTCTTCTCATTCATACTAAATGAACTGAGTATAATTTTGGAAAAAGTAGTTTTTAAGGTATTTTTCACGATCGACACCGACCACTTTTTTCCATTGGATTTGAAATTGAACAACAATTCAAATTTAATGTGAAAATAGTAAATATCATTTACGTAAGAAAATGTGCTTATATTGTGGTATTAATTGCTTATGTTACAGACGTTAATATTTTTAAGAGGTTTTTTACCCGTTCGGTATCCTTTTATGTTCCATGATATTGTTTTTCCCATATTCTTTCTCACATAGAGATCACTTCCTCGAAAGCCTCCAACTTCAAATACATCGAATATCTAGCCCACTGTATATGTGTTGTCTTCGTATTCAAATGCTTATTTCTCCCCAAACATTTATCACATTTAATGCAATCCTCTGTGTAACAGCTATAATTAAGTTTAACTAATCTCTTTAACGATTCATAAATCTCCGCTTACCAGAAATCGAAAAATATTTATGTTGTTTTATCGGTCAATCAATTTTTTTTTATGCTTCTCAGTCCACATTGTTCTTACCTATAGATCCTTTGGATCTGTAACAATGCAACGGAGCAACTTTGAACTTCCTTAAGCTGTGCAAGATAGCTGAAATACTGAGTGAATTCGGCGCCAAGATGGAGTTGTTTTGGTTGAAATATTGTCTTTCTTTCTTTCAATACACATAGAGCATTTAAAAGACACGGTGTAAAATAATACTTGTTTCAAATGAAATGTTTAGGATCTAAGAATGATCCCAAGCTCTGAAGGTATCAGTGTAACCAGGAAATCACTGGTATTTCTGTTAGCAAAAAAAAAAAAAAAAAGGAGAGCATCACAACACAATATTTTTATTCTAACCTGTTATGTAAAAATACTGAAAGGGCATTACTCGATATGTTTACATCTTTCGCCGAATTCATCCGCAATGAAACTTACTTAATGTTTCGGAAGGCAATTTGATAACAACTTTGGATGTCATTAAGCTCAATGAATTGCCGAACCCGCAAGCACTGAAATGAAAACCTCTGAGATTCAGTTAATCCGCCTGTAGTAATTATTTGCCACAGGAGGCGTATTTGGCGACAACATGCGATAACGCGCTGTAAAGATTACTCATCAGAAAGGGAAGATTTTCTTCATAAACTGCATGGCTATTTCTTGCAGAATTGAAAACAATAACGTCTAGGAAGGTATAAAGGAAATATACAACATAATCAGCCGGCACAATAGCAAGTTTTTGCGATATGTATATTCAAAACATAATCATATTTATTCAAAGATTAATATTTTGAGCTTTGAACGCCATGACTCCAGGAGAGAATTGGTGAAAGTCATTCGATGAGAATGGACCTTCAAGTGACGTGAGTTGTATTAGAGACCGTTAGTTCCTAAAATTTGTTTTTGTTTAGTTGCGTGCTTTAGGGACCATGAGTTTTTCGGTCTGACGATCGACTCAGAGGGCTGCGAGTACACGATATGAATTCAAGTTCAAAAAAACCGAAAATAGAATTATTCCCCGTAAAGATTACTCCGTCTCGCAATTAAAGACACAGTTGTTAAGTTATTAAAGGAAGTAATCATGAACTTATTAACAATGAAAAAACTTTAAATAAAAACTGCGATATGTTGGTTCCTTGTTTTCCCTGTCAATATGATATATATTTGCTAGCTTACTGTTTAATTGGAAAACTTCGAACTTGTTGACTTGTAAGTCTCAATCACTTAATCTTTCATTAAAAAAGGTAGCATTCAACATCAATCAAAATATGCTTTGCTATGAAGTGGAACCAAAATGTGTTAATTATACCTTTCCAAAACTCGCAAATTTTTGCATCGGTTATTTTTTTTAGCCGCCCATCCAGATCTTTAGAACAATACATTATTTCATGAAAATGCCTTCCCTTACTCTGGCCTCCTTTCCATAAGATTGGTTTTTTTAATTTCAAATGCGTTGCTTTCTGTCTATAAGATTTTTGTACTCATTCGTGTTTGCAATGAATCTACGGGACAACTTTGCGCCACGATTCTATTGCAAAATATTCGGATACTTATCAATGAACCATAGACGGGAGGAAAGCTTGTATGCTGCAAGCGAAACCTATTAGCATTATTCATTCCTATTCACGAATTAGCTTCCTCTATAGCTGATTATGCCTAGCTTAAGCCAACCTCTCTACTTCTTATGAAGAACTAAAATAAACATATTCTATTAACTTTCTCTTGTTGTTGCCGACTTTAATGACAAAGTGCTTCATATTTTTTTCATTTTAGGGGTAATTAAGGAGGAGAATATCTCTCATTTATAATCAGTCTTGACAAGTCACTCTCGTAAGGTCTTAAAACACTCTTGGTAACTTTCCGGTACTTAGAAAAAAGGCGCCTTGTTTTTGAAATCAAGTGACTCACAACAAGACACTTAATGGACTAAGGGTAACAAAGACTGTTCATTTTGGCTGAGGAAACACCGAGATAAGGACGGTCACCCCGTAGAGCTGAACGGACGAAGCCGGGAAATTCAATTGAACCCTTCTCTAATTTTTTTAGCAAGTACCGCAATGAACAACTCGCTCGCACAGCACAAACTCAACTCAAGCGACGAGGAAATTCAAACTTTTGATTTCATGCCAGGATTCGTGTATCCAGTCGCGACGTGTCATATAATTATATTAACAGTAGCTGCAGTGGGAAATCTTCTAGTTTGTTACGCTATACTCGCCAACAGAAACTTGCGCATCAATCCAACGAACCTCTTTATTTTCTCCCTGGCGTTGTCGGATCTCCTGACAGTCACACTGGTTCTGCCATTTGATATAGAAGGGATCTGTCTTCAGTGGGTTTGGAATCATGGAGAAATTATGTGCAGAGCATGGATAACGATGTACCTAATAACCGTACCAACCTCGATTTTGACCCTGTTGGCCGTCAGCGTGGATCGATACAAAAGCCTCAGTGATCCTCTAAATCGTTTTAGACGTTGCAGATTCATGACTCGGAAAAGAGCTTTTTTTATCTGCTTTATAATCTGGCTGTACAGTTTTTTGTGCGCTTTGCTTCCTGTCATGGGTTGGCGGACAGCTGACTATTTTGTCTACGACAAAGTTTGTTATTTCCCTTTCACCCAGGTTTATTTCATTCTGACTTCTGTTCTGAATTTCATTTTGCCACTATTGGTAACATGCGGAATCTATATTAAGATTTATACGATCGCTTCCACTCATCACAAGAACGTTGAAGGAGATGACAGCCGAAAATTTCGTTCCACCGAAGAGAAAAAGGTGTATTCCAGAAATGTAAGAGCAGCTAAGACAATATCTATTTTTGTGGGGGCTTTTTTCTGTTGCTGGGTGCCATTTTCCTCCGTCAGTATTATCGCGTTCATTTGCGGCGAGTCATGTACGGGCAGTATCCCCTATGAAGCTCGCATCGTTTTGTTAATGTTTGGGTACCTAAACTCGGCGCTCAATCCGTTTCTTTTTGCATTCCGTAACCGCAGATTTAAGGCCACCTACTCGCTGATGGTGAAATCACTAAAAGCTCGTTCTAAGCCCGAAAGAAAAATTAGCCGCTCGACACTGACGCAAAGCACGATCGGCTCCGAAGTTCTAGATTCGCAAGATATAAATGTTCGTCTCCAATCGGTGAGGCCGAAGCGGGAGTAGTCCCAGCTAGTCCCAGCTTTGAAGAATTGTATGCTGCTTCGAAATTGTTTAGTGTCATTCGGAGTATTTTGGTTCAGTGTCAAGATAAAATTTATTTATTTTATCCCCCCCCCACATAGCCTCTGTAATATTCTCATAAAACCCCCTTCCCTTATAAGCAATTTTCTAAAGTTCCCCCCTCCCATATACCCTGTTAGTGAAATCTAATCTCCCTTCCATTTCCCCCCTGAAAACCATGTAATACCCCCCAAATCCCCCCCCCTCTAGCGATATAAAAATGACTGTTCCCTTATATACAAACAAGGATTTTTACAGAAATTGACAAAAGATTAGCTGAAGCGCACTTCATTAATTTGCAGTTGTCAATTCTAGCTGCCCGTTATGCCTATCTTGCCAATCTAAAAGAAGAGGGTTAAACCATTTATTTACTTTCAAGATCCGGCATATATATCTGTTTAAGTAAAGTGGAGAGGTGCCACATTATTATTAAGTACTGAAACTGGAATTGCATGGGGTATATAAATTTCCTAGATTTTCTGGTTACTTAGATTAGTTATATAGGTATGTTGTTACATTCGTATTTTTAAAAAGTTAGTCTTAGAAACTATCATGATCACTACAGCTTGTCAACAAACGAGGTTTTACTCAAGCTGAATTCGAAGTTTGAGATGGAGAGAATTGATCTAATGGATACGGCTTAGCTGTGACTGCTTCTCGCGATTGAAAAAATCTGAGATTCCCCGCATTTAAGATTGGATTTCGCTCACAATGCTGATTTTTTGCGCTATTGAGGCGGTTATAACGTATTTAAGAAGAAACCGCGCGGGATTTCACGATTTCGCGACTTAAAATTTCATTTTCATAAAGGCTTAAGTTTGAAGTTTATTATCGCGTTATAGGAAATTAAAAAAGCCATATACAGATTGATGAACGCTAAATATACTGTGAAATGACAGAAATTAAAGTTAGCATTGTTTGCCGCAGAGCGATCGGTTAATCATGAGAAACAGCTCAATTCATGAAGTTAGTAAGTTCCAAAAGAAACTGTGGTGCTACATCGATGGGGTTTATCACAAGATACGTTGTTTGATTTTACCAACTGAGATAGTAATGTGGATTGGAGAGTGAAAAGTTGCTGAAGCTGACGTTATGAGCGTTAGCCCTTCGTCTGAGCCTAAGAAACTCTCTACAGGCGCCGATTTACATTACTGATCAACTCAGTTGACAAAACCAACAATCTCATTGTTCAGTGCATGTCAATTTTTCGTGATTAGCTAGTAATGAGAGTTGGAGCGGGTATGTGAAGAAAAAGAAATCGGATTTCGTGTGCAATAATTAGCTCAAAGCGCAAAAAGAATCAGAACGAAAACGATGCAACTGTATTTTTAGCTCGACCATAATAGTTAACACCATTAAGGTAAAGAGATGCTTAAATCGAAATCACGCTCCATATGCAGCGAGAAAAAACATTTAGAGCCGTGTTAAATAGCTACTATTGTAACTCAAATGCATATATAGTGTATACATCAATTTATATATAGTTTATGGTGAAACTTAGCTTTAATTGCTTGGAATCGATAGCATTATTAGGTTAAGCTGATCAATTTAAATACGCAGCTTTTTAACCTGAACTGAAGACAAACAACCAGTGGATTTTCTTCGACAAACTGCAATCTTTTTAAGGTCTATGGACAAAGACCTCCTGTGTGCTAGGCCCCTTTCAAGTTAACAAACTTAGAGTATCACGTACAGGGATGTGGTTGTAGTCGTTGTACATAAAGTTTTCTTGACTCAGGACTAGTTTCAATGCTGAAAAAACTGAATCATTGAACGAGTTTGGATATGTACTTAACCGTAAAAGTATATTGTTCTACTATCACAGCCATATACATGTATTGTATTATGTATCATAACTGTTTATATCAGGCCACGCGTCTTGGGAATAAAAACAGAGATGAAGGAATATAGGGAAAAACTTAAAGAAAGCTGTCATTTCGTTATATCACAACGCAGATCAAAGTCCTTTTTGAAAGCGACAAATTTTACTCACAAGATCTAGATTTAAATTCTCACTATTTGCCATAAATTAACTGTCAATTTGGCCCGCCAGAACCGTTCGTTGGAGGCCTGGAGAAAAGTGAGCCAGCGCGAGGCCTGCTAGGGGTCTGGTACTGAATATTAGTGCAAGATCACTCCAGATCACTAATAGCTATCAGTCACACCCCCAACTTTGAGCATGGCCTTTAACTTACGCGCGGGCGAAGAAACCCTCGTCCTGCAGTACTAATTATAAGGACCTGTTCGCAGGTTTGAGGTTAAGGTAAACAATATCCCAAAGTTAATACTTTTCTTTCTTCTCATCACGCTCAACTCAAAAATGTGTTGATCCTGTAAGGAAAAAGTTTTCTTTGTTTACTTCCTCAATTAAACTGGCAGAACTGAGACTAATAAGAGAGTTTAATCCCATGTTAACCTTAAGCACCCTGTCAAGTGTTATTGTTGATGCTTTTAAACTGTATGATAGCATAATGGCTTGATATTTTGATTATTGATTCTTGCTCCTTTCATTTTGAAAAATGAAAAACCCTTTTTCCAAGTTAATGGACTCAAACGCACCAACTTTTTGATTCGCTGATAAATTATTTTTAAAAAAAAGACCATTCATTTGACGACAAAGAACTGCCCTGGGGTCAAGAGCTGGCTGGTGACGAAACATTTGTAATACATAGTCTGGGTCAGCCGGGGTAACTTTGGTCGACGAGATACCTTTTCCCGACGATGTTAGTATTGGTAACCAAGCTGTCGGGCAGAGGAATAAAGGGGTAAGTTTCTAAAGAAACTATAGTGCTGCGTCGGTGGGAGAGTATAGCAGGTAACAACTGAGTTGAAAACGTAACAACTGAGTTGAAAACGTAAATTGGCCACCGTAAAGAGTCAAAAAGCTGACGTCTCGAGAGTTAGGCCTTCGTCAGAGCGATTGATGAATCTGACATAGCAGATCATTGAAAATAGCAACCAAAAAACGTGAAAACAGCAAGAACTAGGACACAAGGTGACTGCGGAAAGAAAGATGTCCAGGTGGAGCCTAAATGTAAGTTAAAAGTTCCTGGAAGGTCTGTCAACCCTTTAACTTTTAATGCGTAATGCTTTTTATTGCGAAGGACCAGCATGGTTGTTTAAAGGACAGAGATTTTGTTGTGAAAATAATTAAGCCTCGGTGTCATCATATGTTTGGCATTCAGCACTTGGAATAGAAATAATGATGGCAATAAGAATAAAAACAATGAAGGTAATAATAATGCAACGTAATGTTATGCAACATAATGATGATAACAATAATTATAACGATAATTATATTAATGACCATAATGATATTAATGATAATAGCATTCAATTGAAAAGCAGACCAAATATATGTATATATATATACCTATATATATATACATATTTTTTTTTATCTCTATTTTTTGGAACGATGACATCAACCGTTTACGAAAGCGACACTTACAATGAAACGCAAATTTGACGCAAAAGCCGCTTTGACAAGATTTTCACACGGGCTGAGCCATAGTTCGGTAAAATTATCTTGGGAGATCAGAGATTGTGCCTTCAAGACAATATTCGTGATGGTTGATTGCAGATTAGCATAAATAATGCCTCAGTAAATCTCGATTTTGCTTCCTTGAACGATATTCGTGACACGCAAGAGTATATTTATCAATCTTCAGCTCTCCCTGCAAATTTATAGCTTTAACTCGCTCCCATTATGTCTGCCCTCTGCCTCGTCAGCCAATGTTGAGAAGAAATACCCATTTTTTCTCCTTTTCCTTGAGCACAGTCTGTAGTAAAAGGTATACGTGACAGTATCACTAATATCACTTAAAACGGGGTCAGTATACTTCATTGTCTCGAAAATCTAATTAAACTTGGACATCAATATTTTTTTCTAGCTTAGTAAAAGCTTGATTATTAAGCTCTCGGTTGGTTTGAAAGAGCGAAATCGAATTATTCTCTTTCTTGAGAATTTTAGTCATCTCTGAAATTCCAATCACACGTAGACGTTTGGTATTTCATTCACAATGTTGTCTGGGCGGAAATCGGTATTAGTTCAGAAAATAGATACTAGAATATCGTTATAGCATCCATAATATTTTGATTATGGAAAGGATCTATCATTCAAACCTTCAAACTCCCAAATATACAACATTTTTAAACGGGTTAAAAATATACGGCAGACGTGACTCCAAGGAAACAAAAGTTGGTTACTTTAGGGTCAACTATGACCAGCTAATAATCTTGAACGATTTAGCGCTGTCATCTCGTTATGCTCCTCAGTATGTATTGAATCTGATATGTATTGATTTTTCATGGGAATTGATTCCGAAGGCAGACTTGCAAAACAACTTGATTCTCTCTGAAACTCCGGCGAATATGGTTACAACTTGACGACGCAGAAAACTTCTTTTTCGACCAAGAAGTGAAAGTGAGCTCTCAGCAAGGAGAAACATCATTGATATACTCAAATCAGAAGATGAATAACTCGTCTGGATCACATCCAAGTGTTGCCCGTGATGAATGGAGTTATTCATTTACAGATGCCTTCAAGTTTCCTGTATTGACCGTTTATATAATCATTGTAGTGGTGGCAGTAATTGGGAACATCATGGTTTGCTTTGCGATCCTAGTGGACAAAAGCCTTCGAAGCAATCCCACAACAATCCTCCTATTCTCTCTGGCGTTCTCTGATCTGCTTACCGTGACTACCGTCACTCCATTACAAACAGAAGAATTTTTCCTACGAGGAACCTGGTTTTACGGTAAAACTATGTGCAAGCTATGGAGTACTGTTTTTTACATCGCTGTACCCACCTCAATTCTGACCCTTCTTGTTCTCAGCGTCGACCGTTACAACCACCTAACTGACCCGTTAAATCGGTTTCGTAAAACAAGGTTTATGACACGGAAAAAGGCCATGATGATCAACTGTTTGATATGGTTTTACACCGTTCTGTTTGCTTCAATTCCTTACACTGACTGGGGAGATTTCCACTATGAATCTTTCGCCTTTGACAAAAGATGTTGGTTCCCATACATTAGCAGTTATACAACAGTAACAAGTTTCCTCAACTTTTTATTGCCTTTGCTTATAACTTGCGGAATTTACATCAAGATTTATCGCATTGCGAGTGTGCGAAATAAAAACGTAACTACCGCCCGCAGATGTGAGTGCGGCAAATTAACTTTCACTCAAGAGACGAACAATTATATAGGAAACCTTAAAGCAGCAAAGACTATATCTATGTTTGTAGGGGTGTCATTTTTCTGTTGGGTCCCTTACTCCACATTTATCATAATCAATTGCGTATGTATACACTGTCGGCAACACATACCACCGGAAACCTACCCATTCCTGCTAATGTTGGGTTACCTGAGCTCTGCGTTAAACCCTTTCCTTTTCGCGTTTCGAAGCAAAAGCTTCAAATTTATATACTCCAAGATGCTGCGTTCAATTATGGTACTCAAACCAAAACCCAGTCCTGACTCTCGGCGAGTCTCTTCCATATCGCAGATGACTCTCGCTTCTGAGATTCCATGTTCAATGGAGGAAGGTATTATACTTCAAGCTGTACAATCACGTCCATTAACACTTAACTTCCAGAACTGCTGATTAGCATTTTTTTCGGATATCTACACACATTAACTAGCAAACAAGACAAGAGAACCGACAAATATATCAATTGGAGGGCATTATCTTTTACCTGGTGTAATTGCTTATTATCAGTGATTATAGAGACGGTTGCTTTCTGGTTGGTCGAAGATTACGTCATATCTTGCGATAGTCATCCAGAACAAGTTGGTCAGTCAATAATGAAGCACAAATTTTTAAATAGGCACTGCGTGATTCGCTCATTTTTCATGACGGGGAAAATAAAATGCATTTGCTCATAGTCATTATTCTAAGACAAAAAATCGCCACCGCGAATGCACCTACAAGTGCTTAAAATGTTTTGGTTAAGCACGTATTTCCTTGAACTGGTGCAGCTGTTGATACAGTCCGATCACAATGCGATCACCCAAATTCGGTTACAAAACTTATTTTCCAGACGATCCTGCCAAGGAGCCAGTCTTTTACTTGTCATCTGGTGTGGGGGAGGGAGGGGATGAAAGATTCTAAAATTTACCTTATCCGATAAGGCTTTGCAAAATTCTAATGATCTTGCCCTCTCTCGTTGGCAGTAAATTGGAAGTCAATTTTCTTTAGTCCCCCAGTTATACTCGTAGAGCGGAGACAGATCCCTCTTCGTTTACCCTGAAGACCATGTGACCCCCGCCCCTCCCCCCCAAAAAAATTATCCGCCCTCCCAAGCAATAAACAATAACTGGTTCCTAATTATTGTTCTTTCAGCTTAGCAGTCAGTGCATGCGAAAAGCATAAGTTTGCAATATATAAAAACAACATACACTGTTCTGGGGATTTTCGGATTTTCATGGGTTTGTAAAAGTCAGAGAACAAGGCCTAACTGACCACACACAGGACAAAGAGTCCATAAGAATTGACCTCATCATGATACTCATACAACTACAGCATTAACCTTCTAAAATGGGGTTAGTAAGCTTTCGTGACTCCCCAGTGCGGGTTTTAGCCTTTCCGCAGTTTGGCTGTTGTGTATCACTTTGAGCGATCTCCCTCTTTAGGAGGAAATGAGGTGGGAATCTTTGTATATTTCACACAGCAATTTTTGCTGTTCTTTTAAATGCCAGTTTTTCACGAGGATTACTTTTAGTCTAAGCACTGATGGTTGACATTGTGGGACATACTAAGGAACTCATAAATTAACAAACTGTGTGTTTCTGTGACGTTCATATAAATCACAAACATTAAAAATTACCTGTTTAGAGAACTGGTCTTCCTCTTAAACTTACATCACGACGCGGCTTTCACTGAGAGAGCGGAATGGCGAGTCACTGACATTACGGCCTGCCTCCTCGACCATGTAGACAAAGATATTTTAGGTATCTTTTCGCGAGCTTCATTGCTATCACTACAGCAAAAATTCGATGACATGGACCTGCAATCTGATCAGCTACCCTTCTCGCTCTCTATCCAGTGATTAATGGTGAGTTAAGTAGACAGTCTAAAAGTACGCGGTCCTAAGAGATTCAAATATAAAAAATTGCCCAACTTGTTGTTCAGCTTGATGGCTGCTAAATTTACTCCAAGACAATTCGATTAATCGCCCTCGATTTTCACACATAGTTTGTCCGTGCTTCGCCCTACATAAACTATCACACGATCTCGACCTCATTACGACCCTATCTTAATCTAATTGTTAAAATCTTGAGAGGTAAACAATTGTCATTGTTTAAATGTTTCCTCTGGCCTAAGAACAAATAAGGAAAGAGAGAGAGGTTTGAAAATTTTCATGTATGTGGGACAACGATAAATTTTAGTCGTCAGTTGAGATTTGCACCCGAGCCACTTCCTAGCTCTCAATCGCATGGCCACCTACTTACGTACGGAGTACTCGTTGTCGACAGGGTTACAACTGTCGGTCATTTACTGAGTTGATTTATATCAGGAATTCACCAAAGGTCAATAAATACTTTAACTGCTTATTTTCTCGTTTCCATGAACACATCGAGTCCTTGTACACTCCTCGATCCTATATAAAAAATGCCAACCGTGGGATGTAATTCCATAGATATTTGTCGAATGTATATTTTAATGAATTTTATGAGCCTAAAACAGTAAACATGGTAAAGTTTCTACAGCTTTCGTAACTATACTCTTAAAAACATCTACACTACTTTGAAATTTTACATTATTTGGAAAATACATAAAGTTCTCGTTTACGTTTTTTAGCTGTCTGCGAAAACCGTTTTCATGTTTACATATCTCAATCATAAAACTCGACTTGTTAAGTTATTTATGGATACGCAATGTGCACGGGACCTTAATTATGATCACTGTTTGACAGAATTAGCTGGAATTAATCTTATTAATGAAGTGTGTTGACGTTTTTTTAAAGCCATCGCAGACCACCATCAATAACAGCAACAGTAATTATTCCTGTTGCATAATTACAAAAAAAGACGATGGGACTCCTGCGCTTTGCGCACAAGAGCCTTCCTGTACGTATATTTTCGCCACTCTGGTGTCAGACCCCTTGGTTAATTAAATAAGTGTTAATATATCCTGGTTTAAATGTTTTTTTGAAGGTATCAACGCTAAATAATTGGAGAGTAAACACATGACGAAGGCCAAATTTACCATAACTCTGAGTTTTACCAGGAGAAGCAGGTAGACACTGAACTCTCCTTGGGGAAGATAAATAAGTGATAATTCAATATACATATTGTTGTTTATTGTTTTCAATATTTCATTTTTACTAAATTTGACTTTCTTTATATCTAATATTCGAAAAATCTCCTGGGATCATGATGAGCAGGCGTTTTTCTAAGGTCAAAAAAAGTGAATAAATAGAAAGAAACCCGTGCCATTATTATTTAAAAAAAGAGCTGTCATGAAAACGCCTCGAAAACATCGTCTTACTTTACCTCGTGGAGAAGAAACAATTTCCATTTTAATCACGTTACATGGTATATCCACCAAATGTAATCTGTTCGTTAAATACAGGTAACGATCTACAAAAGGATAGGCCGATATAAGCGAATCTTTTGAGGTTCCCCTTTGAATTACACAATGGGCAAACTTTACTCCTTCAAGCAACGTGGTTGCCCATAGATATCATTTTCTTTTGAGGAGAATTCTTTGTAATCAGCATCCCACCATGGAACATTCGAGAATGCGTAAGAGGTTGAAATCCGTGGAATGATCCCTGAGCTCAAAACTTACAATCCTTCTTATCCTATTTACAAACATGACGCTATCGACATTGCTGATCCAAGCGGTACGCAGGATCTGTGTCAAACACGAACTTCGTAATAGACCTCGCTTACCATAGAGTCTCTGTGGCTCAGTGGTAGAGCATCGGAGCTCTAAGGTTCGATTCCTCATGGGGACTCAGATTTCTTTTTTTGTCCCACGCTCTTGACAAGACGAAAAACATCTTTATCTATTCTTTTAAGCTCTTACCGAACTTAAAACTTACCATCTTTTTTATTCGATTTACTAATATCGTACTTGTTTTATTTTTATTCCTATTGAAACAAATCTAAGTTTGACCGCAGCTTTCTTAAGAATGATAGAGATGGTTCAAATTGGGTTAAGTGAACCTTCAATAATGTCTCTAACGCACAAGCGATGTCGGACAACAGGAGTGAGTGACTATCTTGTGAAAAGCCACAATAACAATGGATTACGATTTAAGCTTGACCAATATCAACTGCTCCTCAAACTGAAATGCTTTTACAGTGTAAAGTACCGAACTTTGAGATAAATAGAAAGTTTTCCTTGACAACGAAAAGGCTTCTTAACTCTATATTGGAACACAGATCGTTCCCTTAGCGACATGAAAAACGTTTACAATCTCTAGAAATGAGTGTGCAAATACCGCGCTATTTTTACAACTTGACACTCATCTTAATATATCATTTTCCTGTCCGCAGAGTCTTGAAGATCTTTAAAGATTGGCTGAAATGCGCTACTACGGTAATAAGTAAAAAAAAGCTGGTGAAAATGTAATTCATTTACAATTTCAATCCTTCTCTCGTTTACGATATATATGATGAATTCTGAAGTAAAATGACAAAGAAATTCGAAGTGATTCTCTCTGTTTCAACATTTGTTTTATATCAGTCACAGTCACAATTCACTGCTCAAGGTCAATCCTACACACGAAATCCCGACGAAATCTTAAATCTTACACTCAGTCAAATGAGGTCGTTCAGCACTTTGGAGTGTAAATATCTGATTAAAATTTTTCTAATGATGCAATGGAAATTTCAATTCGGCAATGATGGCAGAACGACATTCTAGCTTTTAAATTCATGTTTTGGTAAAAGCTTCTTGAACAAATCAACATCGCCGGATGAGTCCACTTATTTCTGTCTTTCGTATTTCAACAACACTTGAAGGAAATATTGCAACACATGAATTGTTTTAATGACAAAAATAACCGTGAAACGTCGAGACTACTCCCGAGTTATCTTGTGAATTACTTTCGTGCAATTGCTGTCCATGAAACAAAACTCGAGTAAGTCTTTCGAGAGAATTTAACAGTGTAGCTGTAGCAACAACTGTAACAGTTGTAGCTGTCATTTGTACTCTCACTTGACCCTTTACTCAATAATTCGCTTTGTATTCAAGGTTGTGTTTTAGCGATATTACTTCATCTTGTCTGTGCAATGACGATAGTCACCAAAATCAAAACCCGTCTCATGCATTTAGGCCGCTGGTAAAATATTCCGCGTTCAGTTTCCCGTAAACAAGGTTCGCGAAATGCTTTTAGTTACTTTGTAAATTTTATCAGGAAATATCATAAATCGTGCGTGGTCATTATCTTGTCAGACCTCTTAAAAACTACTCTTAATCAATTAGAATTTTCTCCTCAAAAATCCGTATTTGTCCAAGATTCCTGAAGCTCTATTTCTAAACACCCAGCGGTAGTGATGATAAAATTAAATTGCCGAACACTATATCTTAAAGAAATATTGAGCTTCAGTTGCAGAAAACAGCAGTAACTCAAAATATGCCGGAGATATTGGTCAGGATTAAGACGCTTACCTCTTTTAAAACGATTAATCAAATCCACTAAGACTTCTCGGGTAATATAACAGATATTTGTCTCTTCGTCAGGTAAATGCTATCGAATGCATACATAAAAAGATTGTTTTGGTACTGCAACACTCATTCGCTTCAGCGAACACCACACCAAAGTTCAGTTTCCGGAGATTTTCATCTACGCACTCTCAATCGTTGGCTCCCTTTCAAGGTTCAATAACATTTGCAGAGGCCGCGGAAACGCTTAACATTACTCAGGATGAACAACTCTTCTGATCACAACTCCAGCGGTCTTCGAATTCAAGAACCTTTCTTCGGTTTCTCCCCGCTCTTCATTTACCCAATCGCTTCTCTGTATATTGTCATCGTGGTAGTAGCCATCATTGGCAACCTGATGGTCTCTTACGCTATCCTTGCCAACAGAAATCTCCGTAATAACCCAACAAACCTCCTTCTCCTGTCTTTGGCAATCTCGGATCTTCTCACCGTAACTCTTGCCGTGCCATTTGACATTGAATTACTTTTTCTGAACGGAAAGTGGAAACATGGCAAAACGATGTGTATTACCTTTCTGACGGTTTACCTCATCACTGTACCGACATCGATCTTTACCCTTCTGGCCATCAGCGTGGATCGCTATAAGACCCTTAAGGATCCACTCGGTCGATTTCGACGCTCACAATTTATCACTCAACGAAGATCTTTGATTGTTATCGCTGTTGTTTGGTCTTACTGCATTGTGTGGGCACTCCTTCCGATCATGGGATGGCGAGATAGAAGTGTCGAGCCAATTTACAAAGGTACCTGTTCGGTACCTTATACCATTGTCTACAACCTTCTCACTTCTATCATGAATTTCATCTTTCCGCTCCTTCTCACATGTGTGTTTTACATCCTCATTTACCTCATCGCTCACAAGCACCACAACGTTAACAAAAGAGGGGGCTTACCGTCAACCTTTAAGCCCACTAAAGAAGATAACAAGATGTACTCAAGGAACATGAAAGCAGCCAAAACGACAGCCATGTTTGTAGTTGTCATGTTTCTCTGCTGGCAGCCTTACACCTACTTCAGCATTATCGCTAACCTAATCGGTGATACATGGGACCCATATCCCTATGAACTCTACTTGGTTCTCCTTATGTTAGGATACCTTAACTCGGCGCTCAACCCCTTTCTGTTTGCCTTCCGTAACAAGAGATTTCAATCTGTATATCGGAAGCTACTTAGGTCGACCACACTGGGTAAATTTAATTCACTGGGTACAATACGTCGACGTTCCACTTTTTCACAAAGCACCAGCAATTCCCAGATTCCAGAGGAGGAGAGCAGAGAAGTACGTCTCCAATCGATAAAATTGAAGAAGTGACGTATGCTTTTTTAGCATCCAAACCTGGTAAGATTCAAATATTCCTCTTTCAAATCTGGTTAATATTCTTTGTTTACCAAGCAGAACTAATAACATGTTATAAACTGCAAATCAGCAGAATGTGACAGTATTTTGAACAAGTTTTGCGCTCGAACTTTGATTGAACTGAAAAGCGAACTTTTTACACCCTAACATCAGCATGCATATTCTCCATACTGGGGTCAATTTGATAAGGAAAATATACTTGAAGTTTTTACACGAGTAATGTACACGGGTAAAGTCCGACTTGTAAATATCAATATTTAATAAAACAATATTCCTCACCAGAATTTATACGTGTATCTCGGGTCATTACACGAGTGTAAATAACAATAGTACGAACTACAGGAGGATCGCAATGGGATGATGGATTTTACGGCTTATGATAATTTTTCTCGTTGCTTTTAAAGGAAATTTTCACGATTAAATTTTTTTGCGACTAACGGCCAATTTTTCTTGGCTGTTTTACAGCTAAAGGTTGACCCCAATGACCTCTCTTACAACTGTAGATTCCGCTCGAATGTAGGTATATTTTTTACACATGCAATTAAAAATTGTTGCTGTCCTCTCAATATATGCGGCTTTGCTTCCAATCGTTTGCTTTCTGTTTTATTCGTCAAGAGCCGTTTAGCATGTTATGCAAACCGGCAATAAAAGTTTCCCATAACTGAAATGATAGTTTTGGTGCCATTTTCGTCGACCGTGACGAAGAAAGTAAAGCAAGCAGCCTGAGAAAAGATTTGCACGTAATAAAACGCAAACATAGACAGCGTCAAAACACTCCGAAATATTTAATGAGCCAACATTCACAGACTTACACTCGAAAAATAGGCGCATCAAGGCAATGTTCAAGGAGGGAGGGTGGGGAGTTGAGAGCTCACTGAGCTAGATGAGACTGTCCTCGATGTTTTAGGTCGTAAAAGCGCCAACATAGAGCCAGTGAAGGTCATCGATTCGGATATTGTATTTGGAGATCGTTGTCACGACAGCTCCTTGCGTTGAAGTTAAAATAATTATAATCCATATGTAAATGATTCAACCCTGTTAAACGTGCAAGTCCTGTTGGTAATGAAATGAGAATGCTACTATCGTCATTTTCTGCTCATGCAAGGGGAAAGAACTATGATATGTTGCCAAACTGGAGTAAAAGTTTTATAAACCAACTCAGATCTTAAAGAAACCCTTAACCCCACCCTGCAACACTTACCCTTTCCCAACACGGACGAAACGGAGCGACCGCTAACCCAGAGATAATAAATTTAGCGTTATGTTCAATTTCATTGTAACAGGTGACGTTGGAAGTTACACTGATGAAGTGCAAGTTTCTACCGTAGAAACTGAGAGTGGTGAAACGGAAGAAGTAAGTGTAACGTAACGGTGCCCGCTCACTACAAGTATTACTCAAACAGGCAGTCGTCGAAACACAAACGCCAACAAAAATCAGACGTGAAGCTTTGCCATCAGCTGGAAAGGGAGGTGCTCTCATGGCTAAAGAGAGATCATCAATTGTAACCGCAGACAAGAAGACAACAGAAGACGACACCCTGCGCCTTAAGAGAAACCTCCAACTAAAAAAAAATAAGCTGAGATTGGAGACAAAAAGACCTAAAAAAAATTAATTTGATTAAACGGCGTCTAAAATGCAAATTAAAATGATGATATTGATAACCTTTTGGACATCTACCTGACTTATTATATAATAATGCTATTGACAGTCGGAGGAGTACTTTAATTGGTGATAGATAATATCAGAATTATGACCCACATGTACACTTACTTTTTTTCTTGGGGGGTTAGGTATATGTGTACTTTGTGCAATAAAATGTAATAATTATCGTCATTGAATAAATAATAGCTTCTTGATTTTGCACGATATTGAAACAGGTGCAGTTTTTAATTGAGCGTAATTTGTATCAATCCTCACACTGGAATAAGTGCTACAGCAACTGCGCCCCTCTGTCTTCTTGTTCCTCTTCATCACCGATAGCCAACTCTTCGTGGACATTGTCGAGATCTGCGTCGTCCAGCAGATCTGTTGAGTGTCGTTTCTATGCTCCAAACACGGACCAACTAATTCTAAAAGGTGGATGAGGGCGTGCACAGGCAGACGAAACTTCTCTAGAAATTGCCTTGAATTTGCGATGTCGAAAAGCCGGCTTTTTTTGGAAATTCCTTGATTGGCGGATAACTTGACGTCTCAGCAGCTTGTCGAGTTCCTCTTCACCAGAAAATGGCATATTGTGACGTTCCAATGTCCTTTTGCAGAGTCTAACTTCATGTTTGCAAGTGACATGCGACTTATATTTTGCACTTGTGATTTACAAGTTGGACTCTGGTAAAAATCCAAGTTGGACTCTTGTAAAAGTGTTAATAAATTTGATCCCTACCATCTTTTACACTTGTAGCACTACACTTGTAATTACAAATCGGAAACTTGAAACCTGGACTTGTAGCAATGTTTATTATACTCGTCTTCGTCTGCACTTTGAAACACTATGGTCCTAGTTGGAGATTACACGTGTCAAAGTTTTATTAAATTAACACCTGCTTTCTATACGTTAAGTTTCTCAACGTGCTGACAAGGAAAATTTGTTGAACAATCAGGAGATTCTTTTGTCGCTGAAAATTTCCTTTATTCTTGTGACCTTAAACCTTTAGCTCCCAGGGATGATTAACATGTGCTTTCTCCCTATAATATCCAAACGTTATCAAACGAACGGGTGGTGAGAATACTAAAACATATCAGGAAAAAGTTGTTATCTTGATTAAAAAACCAAATTCCCATAGCTTATTCATAAGGAAATATGTAACAGCCAAAGGGAAGAATTATCAATCAGATCTTGGGAGTTAAAGAGTTAATATGTGATTCGGGGGTGAGAATGTAAGGAGAAATTAGATGCTAGTCTAAAAGGATTAGGCCATCAAAATTTGAAGCTATTCGTACACAACAGAGACCGTAGCGTGAACTTTCAATTTCTCAATTAGTTTTAGGAAATCCTTATTTTAAAATTTCCTTTCCTTTCCTAACTGCAAGGAGTTACTGTAATCAAGCCACTCTGGGGTATCCTATCATTCAGTCATGGTAGTTTTGAACATAGCTTTGTTGCGTCAGTGTAGGTATAGTTATTAAATTGCGTTTAGGGACCGTTCATTATTTCCCGCCTGGGGTGGGGTGAAGTTGGGTCGGAGCATTTTGGTTGTGTTACGTTAAAATCTACCAGATCCTCTCCCTCATTGGCAGTTAATTGCAGCCAATTTTCAATCGTACCCCCTTTATACTCTGTTAACAACAACTGATCCCTCTCCATTCTCTGTTCTCCCCTGAAAATCGTATCATTACAAATCATCCAACCCCCCCCACCCTCTCCAACCCTTAACCCTCCATTTGTTTGCTAGACAATGACTGGTTCGCTAATCGGAAGCATATAAGTTACGGCCACGGTAAACACCGGCGTATAATGAGCCGCACCTCTTTACCCAAAATTTTCAAAATGTATCAGGGTTGAGTTTATCTGCGAGAAAACCAGGACGTCCCGCCACGATATATGTTTCTGGTTTATCGATACGTGGAAACAAGGAATTCCAGTAATGTGTCGATCACAACCTCGTTACTTTATTCTCAACCGCTCTAAAAACGCTTGTGACAAACCTGTATTTACCCAAAATTGCGTCAATGACAAAAACGCTCGAAGCAGCCTTTATCTGAAGGCTAATGGCTATGACTATATCCCTATATATCTGAAAGTTGGACAGATCAATAAGAAAACTTTTCTGTGACTCTGAGTTTCACGCTTACGCGATCATCAGACAGATTTTAATGAAGATTATACCTCACTTAGTTTAAATATGTCCAGTAGTCATTTAATTAGTAAGTCTATAGTAATCTGGTGTCGATGTTCACTAAGGAGTATTTGTTCTCATGGCGGCATTTGGAAATTAATTAAGTTATATTGTTAAAGTTGCTTGCTTTGTCGGGTTTAATAATGTATATATGTATATCTATAAATTTTATGTGACTGTGAGGAAAAAAAACTCAGAGTCACAGAAAAGTTACGTGTCATTGATTTGTCCAACCTTCAGATATGTATACATATATATATATATTTGTGTGTGTGTCTATGTATTATAAGAATATCAGCAGTTGAAATTCTCTTGATAGATACAAAACCAAGATTTGTAGCATTTGATCTCTTTGTTTTTGCAATTTTGTAAGTCAAATTTTGTCGAGTTTTATGTCTTACAGAAATAACCCTGAGACCACACGTCACTTCACCTCTACTATCTCCATGTTTTACTGATTATGTATCCCTAACTTCAATTTTCTGTCCCGTTAATTTCAACGATAAAGCATCACATTAATTTCAAACAAAATCTTAGTAAGCTCAGAAAATTTACATAAAATATGTTCTCACTAATAGAACATTTTTACCATCAAATCTGTGAGAGTTACATTTTAAGTTAATTCTTACCCCAAACATAATGCTGCTCAAGCAGGTACATTGCGATGTGATTATTTACAAAATGCATATGTTGTTATTACCTGACAGATCTATATAAGTGTTTGGGAAAAATTCTTATTTGTAGTGTAATTGCTTTACAATATTCAAATTAAGAGCCTCGGAGTAATGCAACAATATAATGTTTGTTGGTAAATCACATACAAATAACCTAGCTCTTTTAACCAAAGTTTCTAGATCTTAAATTACCTCCTTGAGTTCTCACTACAGCTACCTCTCTGCCGCAGGCATTGATTCAAAAAACTGAATCTTCATAATAGGATATGGATCGGAGACGGACACCGCTTCCCAGCTCCGGAATCTCGGAGGTGACAGTGCTTTGTGAAAACGTTGAGAGCCGGCGTAGTGATATGCTGGGTTCAGCCCGTTTTACAGCTCGTTTACGCGATGTAAAAAGCTTTTTATAAACAGCCTTAAAACTTTTGTTGGAAAAGGCAAAAAGAAACGGATTAAGTGCTGAGTTAAGGTAACCGAACATTAATAACACTAGGTAAACCTCGTGAGGAAACGATTCCCAGTTTTCGCTGTCAATAGCACTAGCAACGACAAAATAAAAGTAAGGTTGCCAGCAGAAGAACAGCGCCAAAACGAACTTTGAAGTCGTCTTAGCCGCTTTGACATTTCTCAAATACACCTTTTTTTCATCCTTGGAGGGCTTTCGGGTCGAAGGAAAGGTGCCTCTTTTGGTGGATCGATTGTTCTTGACAGCAATGCGATATATGAGGACGTAAAAAAAGCATGTGATCATCAGCGGAAGAATAACATTAAGAAAGGACGAAACAAGGATATAGTTCTTTGTGTATGGCAGTATGCAGATGCCATCATCATCTGCTTCTCCTTCCTCTCGCCAACCCATGAGGACAAAAAACGGCCATAGTGGGCAATACAGCCAGATGGTCGCTATGACAATTAAAGCTCTAGTTTGGGTCATGAACTGTGAATTCTTAAACCGCGACAAAGGATTACTGAGGGTTTTATATCGATCCACACTGATGGTCAACAGGCTGAAAATCGAGATGGGTATAGTAATCATGTACACCACCTGCCAAACTATGCAGAATGCTCTTCCATGATTCCATGCACCGTCAAGGAAAAGTGATTCTATATCAAACGGTACCACGATCGTTGCCGCGAGAAAATCTGAAAGAGCCAAGGAAAAAATGAAAAGATTCGTGGGATTGTGGCGGAGATGCTGGTTAGCAAGTATTGCGAAACAGACCAAGAAGTTTCCAAAGACCGCCACCACTGTGATAACTGTGTAACAGGCTGCAACGGGATACGAAAACTCTGGTCTAAAACCAAAGAAAACGTCTTCGTCGGTGGACGGATCTGCAGCGGAACTGTTGTTCATTCTTAAGAAGCTGTTTTGGAAGGTAAATATGTCGCGGCTCTCGGTTGTAAAATCGAACTCAACTTTTCTCGTAGTTTACTGGAGTTTTCACCTCAATACCTCACCAGTCACTGCAGTATTCGATTTGCTCATCACAACAAAGCGCCAAATCAAAAATAAATTGATTATCAGCCGTTTTAAAGATTTACGTGACCACTTGAGATATTTTTAAGGCTGCATTTAACCAGTAGCACTTGATTTTGGCAGAGTATACCACACTCAATATCACTCTGACGTCTCCTTATTCATTGGAATTGCAAAAAGAAACCTAGGATTAAAATTTTCGAAGACTATGTCCCTATGAAAAACTGACAGATTCAAAGTGAACCAGACATTTTAAAAGATGTATGGTTCAATTTGCATGCAGCTTAAAAGCTTGGGTTAGGTTAGAAAAATCAGATTTTCGTCTGCAACCAAGTGGTATAACTGAGTCACAATGACAAATAACAAAAACAAAAATAATAAGGAAACTTCTCAAAATAACTCTACAGGCTTGAAAAAAAAGGATATTGCATGATATTTTAAAATCTTGAAATATCTGAAAATACAATACTAACACAGAAATATCCATTATACTGTTGTGTCTTATTTTGCTGCATTCACACTTGATATTTCACATATGCTGAAAGATTATCTTTTTCAGAGATTGATGATTGAGTTGACATCATGCATTGTCTTGTATACTGGCTGGAGAGTTTTCCATCAAAATATCATTATCGTGTTAAATCACCTGGTGCAGTTCCCACTAATTTCCTAAATTAAAGTTAAGTATTACAGAATGTTGACCGGGCAAAAAAGGATCAGTTACGTTTTTTCCTCTTATGGAGAAGCTTTAGTTAAGAGAACGAAAGTTTTGTTTACGTTTCCGAGTGAGAAAGCCTTCTTTCGGATATTTGAACAAAACAAATTCCAATATATGACGCAAAGGTCTGCAAGTCAACAAAGCCACAATATTTCCAGTTAAGTTTTTTGCCAAGCGTTGTCCGTCGCCATGAAGGTGTTTAGCCATCAAATCATGACACATATACGCTGAGAATGAATTTAAAATAATTACTTCCGGAAGTTGGTCAAAATCAGCGAAAAAAAAAAAACAACAACGAAAACATCAGATGAAAGATCCCTCTTTTTCATTTCATGATATCGTTGATTAAAGAACTGATATCACTTGTTTTTTTCTTTTGAACTCAGTCAGTACATTGAAATGAGGTTATTCCTGTCACCTTGTATCTATCTTTATCCCCCAGCTTCCCCATATATTGTCACACTGACGTCATCGCACTTTTAGTTTTGTAGATAACATTTCATTTTTAGATGGGATGTGGGCTGCAAAGCTTCCTGCAAGCAATGGCGCGCTAAGTTGACAGTTTCTGATAACTTCCACTGCCTAAGGTGACTGCAATGTTACCTTGGTGACGGATGGATGGTTAACGAAGAATAATGTACAACAGCACTTTGGAGAATTCTCATTGCGACAGCATTTATTTAAGGAAATTAAACAAACTTTTTATTCACTTTATTTACTAGTTAGTATTAACGGTTTATTCAGAATTCGCAGTAACTTTACGGTGATCGTGTCACTGTAACTTTAAAATAAAAAATCAAGTGATGGAACTCAAGTGTACTTCCCGTGAAAAAATTGTTTTGGTTCTCACTGGAACATTGTTATTTTGAATGAGGCAAAAGTCATACCACAAACGAAATATCACTCATATCAGGGGCATTATTTTCTTTTTATAAAGTGAGATAAAACTTAATACCTTTCTCTGAATGAATTAAAAGCAACTCTCAGATGTGCGGACAGGATCGCATGAATCTCCCACTGCTTAGATATAAGAATAGCATTCACTCCTCTGATAGGGTTAGCTTTGATCACTTTGATCATGTTGCTTCAAAGGACTCCTAATTTGTTTTCTTTCGAAGTGAATTTCTCGATTCTTTTGATTGATCAAAAGATTTTGGATCACTTTTATATTACTACTCCAAAGTGACGCGACCGAAGAAAGGCGTCCTTTACATTGCAAAAAGCACAGAAAACAACTTCCACAGTTATGAGACTTTTGGTTCAGTGATGCTTCATCCTTCTGCCTTTAGACCTATTCCTTTCAAACAGTAATTTCTGGAACATTTGCAATTTTAAAAAGGTATACTTTCGAGCTCGAAGACAGACATTTTCCAAGTCCTTCGCATTTTTTAAATATCTCAGCACAAAATCGTCACTCTTCAAATATGCGTGGTTATGCGTCATTAAATTTTCTCAGTTTCTTTACAATAGCATACATATTGATCGGTTTGAGTCTATTTGGCAAACTTCAGCTCATCTTTTAGATAAAATCTCCGTGAAGTCTTTGTCATAAAAATACGTCGAAGTTATTACACCTTCATACACAGTATAGCTATAGCTTAGTTTATGAAACTCTAATAATCAGCTTGGTAAGAAATTAACTATCTGGAGGCAGCGGGGTCCCGCTGATAGGGAACTGGGTCTATTTCCTCTTATCTTGCTTTTCATCGGAAATGATCTTGGTTGAGGTGAGTTCTGCCCGTCAGCTACGCCCTGTAAAACGCCTTTTAGTATGATTCAAACAGTTCGATTTTTCCTATGTAATACTTGTTTCATTGTTTGCTTACATCGAACCTTAAAGATCCCTATAATTTAAGTTTGGAGAGTGGTCTTCTAAGCTGTTTATCAACATTCGCTTTGCTGAGAAAACGAACAGCTGTGTACCAAAGAAAAAGGCGAATGTTGTCGTGCTAAAAAATCATTTCTCTCTTCTAAAAGAACAATTGTCGTAATTTAGACGACCAAACTAAATTCTGCTTTGTTCCTTTGATATATTGTTATTTATGTACCAAATTATAAGCGACAATCTGTTCACCATCATTTACAACTCTCGGGAATTATCATCAAAACTAATTTTAATTAGTAGAGTGGAGAATGGTGACAACAACAATGCAGTTCAAAACTTGGCTCAGTCATGCAACACTAAAATTCTTTTTATGATGAATGCTAAACAAATAACTAAGAAGTTTGGGCTGAAACTATGCCGTTTTAGTATCGTGGTCAAATCTATCCAGTTCAGTGACATTTGAATCCTGAATTGACAGGTGCGATCGATGTTCTGAGGAAGGAAACATTTTTGCATACACAGCTCTGAAGTGCTTGTTCCGAAATGCGAACAGAAAGGGATTCAGCGCCGAGTTGAGAAAACCAAACATCAACAGCACCATGTAGACTTCGTGGTCAAACGATGTCCACTTTTTGCTAGTGATGGTGTCAGAGACAAGCCAAAGGGCGTATGGCTGCCAGCAGACGTAAATAGCCAACACGAATACTGAGCTCCTTTTGGCTGCCTTGATATTCTTCAGATACATCTCTTGTTGTTCTTTCGTGAGTTGTTGGGATGAATTATGCTCTGTATTGCTTAGAGCCTTCTCGTGCTTTCGTATTATGTGATATACTAGAATGGAAAACCCGCACGATACCTGGAGTGGAAGAATGATATTCAGAAAGGGGCTGACTATGGTGTAGGTTTTTGTGTATGATAACATGCAGATGCCATCTTCAAGAAAGTCGCCTTCTCTCCTCCATCCCATGACAGGGAGAAGAGCCCATAAAATGCTGTAAAGCCAGATTGTCGCGATCACTATAAGCGCTCTTTGTTTAGTCATGAACCGTGAACACCCAAATCGGCCGTGAAAATCGCTGAGGGTTTGATATCGATCAATAATGATGACCAACAGGCTGAAAATGGAGACAGGTACAACGAAAAGATACACCAATTGCCACGTTAGACACACAGCCCTCCCGTGTTTCCATGCGAAGTTCAGGAATAATGACTCTGTGTCAAATGGCATCACAATAGTTGCCGTGAGGAGATCTGCCACAGCCAGGGACAAGAGCAACAGGTTTGATGGATTGTTGCGCAGATTCTTATCGGTGAGTATGGCGTAACACACCATGAGATTTCCTATGATTGCCACAACTGTGACAGCAATGTAAAAAACGGCTACTGGATACGCAAAGGAGGGTTTAAAACTGAAGGAAGTTTCCCAATCATGTGTGAAATTCGAAGTTATGTTCATTGTAACTTTTGTGTCTTTTTCTGGTGTAGAGAAATAACTCTCGCAATCTGCCTAGCTTCTACTCTTAGAATGCGCTCTTCGTTAATCTGCACGTAACTCTGCAGACTGAAATGTGAAAATAAATGACTGAAGGTTAATCAGTTTCTTGATATACAGATGAAGTTTGTCTATTTTCGGCTGGAATGTATCTATATTAGTCAGGTAAAATATCCTGACACGGTTTGCGTTGTTATCAACATTTGTGGGCGACTTGTGCAATACTCAGTATTTTCCGCCTCTTTCTTCTCTCTAATTAGTTTGAATTTGTATATCATCTACTCTTGTCTTTGCAACCTTAAAGCTTTTGTATAACACCCCTGGCTTTTGAACGAAAACAAAATTTTTTCGCTTGACTTTTGTTTCGTGTTCTTTTTGTGGAAAAGTGCTAAAGACAACATCGGACAGATATGTAAACCACTTTGAAGGCACTATTGCAATTAGTTTGACGTAAGTAAATGACATCATTTCATCTTGTTTTCTACTTGGAATGAAAACACTTCAAGTCTAGTTACGAAACATTTTCATTAGCAGTTATATTTGCATATTAGAGGGATTCCTTAAGTTTATTTTATACATAACATCCCTTTTTTAAGGGTTTGGTCGTTTATTACTTCTGAGGGGAGAGGACGAATGAAGTTTTTAAATTTATGCAGAGGCTAAACCAGTTGATAAGAGATAAAGCAAAACTGAACGAGCAATTATTTCTCAGTTGGGCGCCTTCTTCTCAATCATTTCCTCTCTAGTATCTGTGAGGGAGACTGACATTTCTCGTTGAGCCTCTGCAGCAACTGAATCTAGTATCTTTGTGGTATGTCATCACCTCCAGTGCGTTAATGATTGTGACCGGACGAGGACAAATCAAGATTTTTTTAAGTCAAAATGTTCTTTTATTGTCATATAAGACAGGGGATATACACACAGGGGAAGTAGCTCACAGCTGAAGTCCCGGAAAAAATGTTTCACATTAGGAAAAGAGATTTACTGAAATAGAGCTATGTAAAAATTTCTTACGAAGCATTCTCATACGATGGTACGGTTTCTTCTCGATGCCAGTCTTAAAGTATATCAATCTACTCAAAAAGAAATATGTTTCCCGAATGGCCAATGGCAAATGTATAAATTATTTATAAAGTAAAATGCCGATGATCCACATCTTAAAGATATCTAGAATCACTGCTGCAAGTTCAAGATAGTGTTTTGCCATCGTTTCTAAGGCTTTCTTCAACGTTTTTCAAATCAATGACACACATCCGACACGAAAATGTGAGCCACGGTGGGCCAAGTCTTTTTACTGGCTGCGTATTTCTAAATCAAATAGAGTTGTCACTCTTCACCCTTCATATGTATATCTATATGCATCTAAATTGCCTCACTGATTGCTTATTGGAACTGCTTCTTTATTGCGCATGATGCTAGAATTCAATTTTCGAAGGACGATACGGATCGGAGTCGGACACCGTTTTCTAGTTCTGGAATCTCGGAAGTGACAGTGCTTTGTGAAAACGTGGAAAGCCGGCGCAAAGATAAAGCAGGCTCGGCTGGTTTTAAAGCAGGTTTCAGCGAAGTAAACAGATTTCTAAACGTAGCCTTAAAACGATTGTTGCTGAAGGCGTACAAAAAGGGATTAAGCGCTGAATTAAGGTAGCCCAACCACAACAACGACATGTAAACTTTGCAAGGAAACGACTCTTTCCCTAGAATGGTTTCGACGATGATGAAATAACAGTAAGGCTGCCAACAGAAGAAAAGCACCAACAGGAAGGTGGCAGTCGTCTTAGCAGCTTTGACATTCTTGAAATACATCCTTTTTTCTTCTTTAGTAGGTTCCCGGATGGAGGGAAAGCCATCTCGTTTGGTAAATCGATTGTTTTTGACAGCAATACGGTAAATCAAGATGTAGAAAATGCATGTGATCATTAGCGGAAAAACGATATTGAAAAAAGAGCTGAGAATGTTGTATTCTTTAGTATAAGGCAGCATGCAGTTGCCTTTATCATCTGGCTCTCCCTTTTCTCTCCAACCCATGAAGACAAAAAGTGCCCATAAAATGCTGTAGAGCCAGATTACCATAATGACTAGTGAGGCTCTTTTTTGAGTCATGAATTGTGAGGTCTTAAACCGAGCCAAAGGATCTCTGAGGGTCTTGTATCGATCCACGCTGATGGCCAAGAGGCTGAAAACCGAAATGGGTATGGTAATAAGGTACACAACTTGCCAAATTATACAGAATGCTTCTCCATGATACCATTCAAAATCAATCCTGAAAAGTAACTCAATGTCAAACGGCATCACTATGATTGCTGCAAGAAAATCCGAGAGAGCGAGGGACAGAATGAAGAGATCCGTGGGATTATTGCGGAGATGTTTATTGGCAAGTATTGCGAGACAGACTAACAAGTTTCCAAAGACCGCTACAGATGTAATTGCTGTGGCGCAGGCCGAAACGGGATACGAAAACGTTTGTTCGAAAATGCACGGAGTGTACTCGTCGTGAGGTAAGTTGACAGCGGAGTTATTGTTCATCTTCACTTGGCGGTTCCAACGCTTAGGCTTTCTTGGGGAATTGGAACAAACTTCTCGTCCAGCCAGTCAGTGGTTTTGTGATAACACAGCCTCACGAGGTTCTTATGCAACGACGTTTCCTTTTTGGATTTTGGATTACTTTAAACAATTTGACACCAGTGATGGAAAAAAGCTAAATATTTGAAGCATCAATAATATATCCAATAATATTGGTCCGTTCAACCGCGATAATTGAGTTTTGGCAGAGTTCACTACTTTTGTTATCATTTTTAGTAACGTCTCGATATCCGTTTGGAGTGACATTGGATGAGTAACTGACACTATTATCGGTAAAACATGCACAGCTGTTATCTAACTTACTCGGTGGGAAACGTGACAGCTGCTGTATACAAAAAGGACTGAACTTTAAGCTGTAATCACGTGAATAGGTCATTCAAATCCGATCTTGGCGTATTCACAAGCGTGTTCTTAATTTACCTCGGCGTTTACCTTGGCATTATTGAGCGATTACACAATTCAATCACAAAAACACTTGAAAAATTGTCAAAGAAAATGCTTGTCCTTAAATAATAATTCGTATCCGGAGAAATCTTAAGCACAATATAAGCATCACATTTGCAAGTACATGATTAAGTATCGCGTTATGTCTTATTTTCTAGTTGAGTCCAAAGCATTCGCGTTTTTTTTTTTAAGAGCTAAGGAGAGATGTTTTTTAAATATTTTTAAAAATTAAAGTTGTAGTGAAATCGCTTTGGTGCGCTTTCCCTTTATTAGGTATTGGCTGGAGATCGTTTCCATCAAAATGGCATAATCGTGTCGGTGTTTTTCTCTCGCTCACTACAAAGAGGAGACATGTCGGTAAAATGGCAGCTGTAGAAATCCACAACAATTTATCATTTGGGTTGCTTGATTGGCGGATTTACCTTTTTCCCGAAAGCGTGTCTGGTCAAAAGCTGCGGCTTCAGGTCAGGTTTTTTTTACCTATGGAGTTGATTCCTGCCTCTCTTCGCTCCGTCATCATTCCTCTTTTTTTAGCATCGCGCAGAACGCCTATTGTTATCCTGTTCTCGCGACATTAGCTTACAGTAGAAAAACAATTATAGACCTTTAATATTAACAGGAAAGCATAATCTGGCGAGCTATGATTGGTCAAAGATTACGAAAGCAATCATATTGATATGCCGTTAATTTTAGAATCTACTTTTTTTTGTGATATAAACTCATGGTGAGGAAAGGAAGTCGGAAAATGAACAAAGCCACAGCAATATTTCCTGTCAAGCTGTTCCCTTCTTTGAAAAGTGTTTGCCCAGAAGGCCGGAGCTTTTGACACGTTCGATGACTGATACTTGTGCGCTTAGAATATTGACAAATCGTTCAAAATCAGGGGGAAAAGGACGCCGAAATGAAATTCGAGATACCATTCTTTCTTCAAAAACAAATTAAACACTTCCTTCTTAGTTTGCTATCATCACTTAAATAAATATATCGCAGTTGAGTGGGAAAGCTAGTTTACTAAACTAGCTCTTTCAATCAAGTATTTACCTTGTAGGCCAAAGAAACGCTCTTTGTCGTTAGTTGATTAAACCCGCCTTGACTCTCTCCTAAGGCAACTGTGTCCTCATTACAAAGCCTTGGGCTTGCACTTATTGGCTACAAAAACCGCATACAACACATACTGTCTGCTTTGCTAGAAATTCGCGGGTTGACCGTTGTTGAGGATAGGGTTGCATAGAGATGGTTGCGCTCTGATTGGTCGTGGATTACGTCATATCTTGCGATAGTCATCCAGATCAAGTTGGTCAGTTAATAATGAGGCACATATTTTCAAAATAGGCACTGCGTGATCCGCTGATTTTTACACGACGGGGAAAATTAAATGCATTTGATCATACTTATTAGTCTAAGACAAAAATTCGCCATCGCGAATGTGCCTACAAGTGCTTCAAATATTTTGGTTAAACACGTGTTTCCTTGAACTGGAACGGCTTTGAGATTAGCAGTCAGTGCGTTCGAAAAGCATTATACATAAGTTTGTAGTATATTGAAACAACGTACACTCTTCTGGGGATTTTCGGATTCTCGTGGGATTGTTAAAGTCAGAGAAAAGACCTGACTGACCACACAAAGGAAAAAGAGGCCATGAAAATTAACCTCATCATGACACTCTTACAACTACGGCATTAACCTTCTAAAATGGGGTTAGTAAGCTTTCGCGACTCTCCAGTACGTGTTTTAGCCTTTCCGCAGTTTGGCTCTTGTGTATTACTTTGAGTGATCTCCCTCTTTTGGAGGAAATGAGGTGCGAATCTTGTATATTTCGCCCAGCAATTGTTGTTGTGCTATCACAACGCTATGAAGGCATCAACGCTGAATAATTGGAGAGTAAACACATGACGAAGGACCAAATTTACCATAATTTTGAGTTTTACTAGGAGAAGCGGGTAGACACTGAACTCTCCTTAGGGAAGATAAATAAGGGATAATTCAATATACATATTGTTGTTTACTTTTTTCAATATTTCATTTTTACTAAATTTGACTTTCCGAACTTCTATGATTCGAAGAATCTCCTTTGGTATAAGCGGGCGTTTTTCTAACGTCACATAAAAGGGAATAAATAGATAAAAGAAACTTGTACCCTTATTATAAAAAAGAGCTGGTATTAAAATACCTTGAAAACATCGTCTCACTTTACCTCGTGGATAAGAAACAATTTCCATTTGAATCACGTTACATGGTATATCCACCAAATGTAATATTTTTGTCAAATACAGGTAGCAATCTACAAAAGGGTAGGCCGATATAAGCGAATCTTTTGAGGTTCCCGCTTGGATTACACCACGGTCAAATTTACTTTGTTAAAGCAAATTGGTTGCCCATAGATATAATTTTCTTTTAAGGAGAATGATGTGTTAGTGGCATCCCACTTTTTTAAATGGAACATTCGAGAATGCTTAAGAGGTTGAAATTCGTAGACTGATCCCAATCTCGAAAACTTACACTCCTTATTCTATTTACAAACATGACGCTATTGATATTGCTGATCCTAACAGTATGCAGGATGAGTGTCATACAGGAACTTCGTAGTAAGTCTCCCTCACCACAGAGTCTCTGTGGCTCAGTGGTAGAGCATTGGAGCTCCAAGGCTCAACTTGCAGTTCCTCATGGGAACTCAGATTTCTTTTTTTGACCCAAGCTCGTGACAAGACGAAAAACATTTTTCTCTATTTCTTTATGGAGCTCAAAACTTATCATCTTTTTTATTCGATTTACTAATATCGTACTTGTTTTATTTTTATTCCTACTGAGATAAATCTAAGTCTGACCGCAGCTTTCTTAAGAATGATGCAGATGGTTCAAATTGGGTTAAGTGAGCCTTCAATAATGTCTCTAACGCACAAGCGATGTCGGACAACAAGAGTGAGTATCTTGTGCAAGTGCTCCTCAAACTGAAATGCTTTTACAGTGTAAAGTACCGAATATTGAGATAAATAGAAAGTTTTCCTTGACAACGAAATGGTTTCTTAACTCTATATTGGAACGCAGATCGTTCCCCTAGCGACACAAAAAACGTTTACAGTTTCTAGAAATGAGTGTGCAAATACTGTGCTATTTTTACAACTTAATCCTTATCTTTATATATTATTTTCCCGTCAGCAGAGTCTTGAAGATCTCTAAAGATTGGCTGAAATGCGCTACAGTGATAAGTAAAAAAAAAAAAAAGCTGGTCAAAATATAATTCATTTCCAATTTCAATCCTTCTCTCGTTTACGATACATATGATGAATTCTGAAGCAAAATAGCAAAGAAATTCCAAGTGATTCTCTCTGTTTCAACATATGTTTTATATCACTCACAGTCACAATTCACTGCTCATGGTCAATCCTACTAAACTCAATCAAATGAGCTCTTTCACCACTATGGAGTGTAAATATCTGACGAAAATTTTGTTTAAGGATGCAACGACAATTTCATTTCGGCTATGATGGCAGAACGACAATCTAGCTTATAACTTCATCTTTTGGCAAAGGCTTCTTGAACAAATCAACATCGCCAGATGAAACTACTTATTTCCGTCTTTCCTATTTCAACAACACTTGAAGGGAATATTGCAACTCATAAATTGTTTCAATGACAAAAAATAACCATGAAACGTCGAGACTACTCCCCAATTATCTTGTGAATTACTTTCGTGCAATTGCTGTCCATGAAACAAAACTCGAGGAAGTCTTTTCGAGAGAATTTAACCGTTTGTAGCTGTCGTTTGTACTCTCGCTTGACCCTTTACTAAATAATTCGCTTTGTATTCAAGATTGTGTTTTAACGATATTACTTCATCTTGTCTGTGCAATGACGCTAGTCACCAAAATCAGAACCCGTATCATACTTTAAGGCCGTTGGTAAAATATTCAGTTTCAGTTTCCCGTAAACAAGGTTTACGAATTAACAATTGGTACATATGTCAGCGTTCGTTCATCGAGATATGAAGCACGCGGGAAGTTTGGAGAACACGAAAGATGCCAAACTTCCCGCGTGCTTCATATCTCGCCGAACGCACAACTGACGTATGAACCAATTGTTTTATAACATTTCAATTTTTTTCTCTCAAAGGGATTTGTTTGCTGACGTCATGAGCTTGCCCAATAGGAATATGAAGCACGCTCACGCAATTGAATTTGATTAGACAAATTTACTAGCTATGCTATAAATGCTTTTAACAACTTAGTAAATTTTAACAGGAAATATCATAAATCGTGTGTAGCCATTATCTTGTCAGACCTCTTAAACACTGCTATTAATCAATTAGAATTTTTTTCCTCAAAAATCCGTATTTGTCCAAGATTCCTGAAGTTCTATTTCTAAACACCCAGCGGTGGTGATGATAAAATTAAATTGCCGAACACTATATCTTAAACAAATATTGAGCTTTAGTTGCAGAAAAACAGCAGTAACTCAAAATACGCCAGAGATATTTGTCCACCGATTAAGACGCTTGAAATAATTAATCAAATCCACCAATACTCCCAGGGTAATATAACAGATATTTGTCTCTTCATCAAGTAAATGCTGTCGAATGCATGCATAAAAAGATTGTTTGGTACTACAACACTCATTCACTTCAGCGAACACCACCAGGGGTGGATCCAGGATTTTGAGTGAGTAGTTTCCACCCGAGGACCCACTCCTGCTAGGGGGGTTCGGGGGCATGCCCCCCCGAGAAAATTTGAAATTTGGAGCTCTCTAAAGGCCATTTCATGCATTTTTAGAAAATTTAATTGCCCCCAAAAGACTGAAAAAGCATGTAATCAAAAAGGCAAAAAACATTTATTTTTCTTGAAAGTACTACAGGAAACACTCTGATCTACAAATATTCCACCTTTAGCTACTGTGCAAACCAGTGTATATAGTGTTTTCAGGAAGGCCAAGTCATCACCAAGACTTTTCACACTGGAAAACATCACCTCCCAGTCAGGAAAATCAAGATGTGGAGAAAAAAAAACGAACCAAGTGTTGGTGTTTTTGATAACAAAAGAAAAACAAGCACAATTGATGATATAGTTTAAAGATTGATAATAAAAATCTACTTGCCTTTTTCATCCTTGGGACCACAGGCTTACCATCCATAAAGCCCTTCTCCTGCTTGTTGGATTCCAGGTTGAGTCTCCAGGGCTGTTTCTGTTAAGTGAGATGTCTTCAAGTGTAGCTGTGACTGGGTAGAGAAGTTCAACTATGCGGTCCATTCCATCAATCCGTTCAATCCATCGTGTGCGGCACACATCAATTAAAACAGTATGGTTTGCCCAAGGCAATAGTTCTCTGATCTTGGCTATTAAATGTTGTTGACGCTTGGGAGAGTTGTTAAAAAAATTAGAAATCTTGCGCACAATATCCATCATGTTCCTGACAATTGGCAATTGGCAAGTGTCTGCTATGCACAAATTAAGCCTGTGGTTCATACAGTGGACATAGACTGCCTTTTCGTGTTCTGCACTGATCAATGAGGAGGCTCCATTTAGTCTTCCAGCCGTATTGCCTGCACCATCATAATACTGCCCACGACAGTCTTCCATTGTCAATCCTAAGTTTGCTACAGCTGCAGTTATAATGTCCTTGATAGCCTCCCCTGTTAATCCCTCCTCACAAATGTAATACCCAATAAATTCTTCTCGGATGGTTTTAGTTGTATCCAGAAATCTTATTACTGCAGAAACATTCTCCTTATTTGAAATGTCAGCAGCTTCATCTGCCATAACTGAAAAATACTTACTATTTCTTATTTCCTGTGATAGATCATTCAAAATGTGAGCACCAACAGTTTCTATCATTTCATTCTAAATGGTCTTTGAAATGTATGTGGCATTTCTGGGTGCAGTGTCCAGGTGTTGCTGCAGTGTTTGGTCACCACTGTCTACCCGGAATTCTAGCAATGCCTGGAAATTACCGGTTAGGGGGCAGCATTAGTGGGATCATCATCTCTCCGCCCCTGAGTGGGATGTTGTTTTTCCCACAGAAAATAATAGTTTTGAAAAGGGACTTTAGAATCTCCCGATTTCTCGCGATTTGCTGTTGAACTATGTTATTTAACTGCTGGTCAATTGGGACAGCTCCTCTTTGCATCATTCTCTTGAAATCATTCATAGCAGTCATAGAAAAATTGTGAATTTCACAATTTCCTAGCGAGTGTTTGGTTAAGCGAGAAGCGGCCGAAGTCCAATTTGTGAGAGGAGACTTCAATCATTTGTCTAACTTATTAGCGTTTCGCCCACACTGAACTCCAAAACAAACACAAGCTAAACAAAATGCTCCATCGAAATATTTGGAGTAAGCTAGCCATGGAAATCTTTTCAGCCAGCCCGAGACAAACTTACGAGATTTTCCATTTTCCATTGACACGGGGAAATCAAAAAGCTCACCTGGTTTCCACACGTTTTCGACGAACTCCAGCTTCTGATGCGGCGAGTAGTTGTGGATCTCGTCGAAAACTAGGCCAATGTATTGTAGGAGCAACGAAAGAGACCCGCTGGGGGAGGAACTGCCCTTTTTATACTTTGTCAGTAGTTTCCAAGGTAGTTTCCAAACACAACTAGCCAATCAGAAGAGTGTTTTGAGTGAGTTCCGATGACGAAATCTTTGCTAGCCAATCGTGAGGGATTTTGACTGTGTTCCGCCTGTTATTGTCACCAAATAACAAGGACTTACACCCACCGGTTGCGTAAAGATTGGCTCCACGAACATTTTCCGACGGCTTCCGACGGTTTCCGAGGTGTAATCGAAGCTCGAAAGGCCAGCGCGTGATCCGGAGCGCTCCCGAACGCCTCATGACCGCAATTATAACGAAATTAGTCATTCTAAACGTATTTTCTTTAATAAATAACTGTAAAACAGGAAGATGGTTTATTTCTGGAAGACGTTTAGTGATTTCCACAAAAGTATCAGTAGTTTCCAAAGGGAAATTAGAGTGTTTTCCAAAAGTACTTTTATCAACATTTAACTAGGTCGGAAAAAATTTGAGTGAGTTCCGGAAATCAGGTAAACTACCCTGGATCCACCCCTGACCACACCAAAGTTCAGTTTCTGGAGATTTTTATCTACGCACTCTCAATCGTTAGCTCCTTTTGAAGGTTCAATAACAGTTGCAGAGGCCGAGGAAACGCTTAAAATTACTCAGGATGAACAACTCTTCAGATCACGACTCCAGCGGTCTACGAACTCAAGAACCTTCATTCGATATGTCCCCGTTCTTCACTTACTCAGTCGCTTCTCTGTATTTTGTCATCGTGGTGGTAGCCATCATTGGTAACCTGATGGTCTCTTACGCTATCCTTGCCGACAGAAATCTCCGTAATAACCCAACAAACCTCCTTCTCCTGTCTTTGGCAATCTCGGATCTTCTCACCGTAACTCTTGCCGTGCCATTTGACATTGAATTACTTTTACTGAACGGAAAGTGGAAACATGGCAAAACGATGTGTATTACCTTTAACACGGTTTACGTCATCATTGTACCGACATCGATCTTTACCCTTCTGGCAATTAGCGTGGATCGTTATAAGACCCTTAAGAATCCACTTGGTCGATTTCGACGCTCGCAATTTATAACTCAACGAAGATCTTTGATTGTTATCGCACTTGTTTGGTCTTACTGCATTGTGTGGGCACTCCTTCCGATCATGGGATGGCAAGATAAAAGTGTCGGGCCAATTTACAAAAGTACCTGCCCTTTACACTATGCCGTTTTCTACAACATTCTCACTTCTATCATGAATTTCGTCTTTCCACTACTTCTCACATGTGTGTTTTACATCCTCATTTACCTCATCGCTCGCAAGCACCGCAACGTTAACAAAAGAGGTGGATTGCCGTCAACCTTTAGGCCCACCAAAGAAGATAACAAGATGTACTCAAGGAACATGAAAGCAGCCAAAACGACAGCCATGTTTGTAGTTGTCATATTTCTCTGCTGGCTGCCTTACACCTACTTCAGCATCATTGCTAACCTAGTCGGTGATATACGGGACCCATATCGCTTTGAACTCTTTTGGGTTCTTCTTATGTTTGGCTACCTTAACTCAGCGCTCAACCCTTTTCTGTTTGCCTTCCTTAACAAGAGATTTCAATCTGTATATCGGAAACTGCTTAGGTCGACCACACTGGGTAGGTTTAAGTTTCCCAGATTCCAGAAGAGGAAAGCAGAGAAGTACGTCTTCAATCGATAAAATTGAAGCAGTGACGTGTGATTTTACAGTATCTTAACCTGGCTAGATTCAAATACACTTCTTTCAAAGCTGGTGAATATTCTTTGTTTACCAAGGAGAACTAATAACATGTTATAAACTGTAAATCAGCTGAACGTAACAATATTTTGAACAAATTTCGCGCTCGAACTTTGATTGAACTGAAAAGTTAACTTTTTACACCCTAACATCAGCATGCATATTCTCCATACTGGGGTCAATTTGATAAGGAAAATACACTTGAAGTTTTTACACGAGTAATGTACACGGGTAAAGTCCGACTTTTAAATATAAGTATTTAATAAAGCAATTTTATTCACTAGAATTTAGACCTGTATCTCGGGTCAGTTCACTAGTGTAAATAACAAATGTACGAATTACAAGAGGGTCGCAATTGGGTGATGGATTTTATGGCTTATGATTAATTTCTTCTCGTTGATTTTATAGGAGTTTTTTTTTCACGATTAACTTTTTTTACGACTAACGGTCAACTTTTTTTGTTCGCCGTTTTACAGATAAAGGTTGACCACATTAAGACCCTCTTACAAATGTAGACTCCGCTTGAATGTAAATATATTTACATGTGCAATTAAAAATCGTTGCCGTCCTCTTAATACATGTGGCTTTGCTTCGTTTGCTTTCAGTTTGATTCGTCAAAAGTTGTTTAGCATGTTATCGATACCTGCGGCAAAAAAGTTGCTTTTGGCTCAGCTCCAGAGGGAACATAGTTGAAATGATAGTTTTGGCGCCATTTTCGTCGACCGTGACAAAGAAAATAAAGCAAGCAGCGTGAGAAAGGATTCGTACGCAATAAAACGGCTTTGGCGCAAACATAGACACTCTGAAACATAGACGCTCCGAAATATTTTATGGGCCAACATACGCAGATTTACACCAAAAAATAGGCGAATCAAGAAAGGCTGGTCCAGGAAAGAGGGGTGGGGAGTGGAGAGCTCATTGAGCTAGATGAGCCTGTCTTCGATGTTTAAGGCTGTGAAAGCACCAATATAGAACCAGTGAAGGTCGGCGATTGGGACATTAAATTTTGAGATCTTCTTCACAACAGCTTCTAGCGTTGAAGGTAAAATAATTATACTCCATATTTAAATAATTCAACTCTCTTAAACGTGCAAGTCCTATTGGTAATGAAATGAGAATGCTACTATCGTCATTTTCTACTCATGCAAGGGGAAAGAACTATCATATGTTGCCAAACTAGAGTAAAAGTTTCATAAACCAACTCAGATCTTAAAGAAACCCCTATCCCACCCTGCAGCACTTACCCTTTCCCAACACGGAAGAACCAGAGCGACCGCTAACCCGGGGATAATAAATTTATTGTTATGGTCAATTTCTTTGCAAAAGGTGGCGTTGGAAGTTACACTGAGAAAGTGCAAGTATCTACCGTGGAAACTGAGAGTGGTGAAATGGGAGAAGGAAGTGTAACGTAACGGTGCCCGCTCACTACAAATGTTACTCAAACGAGCAGTCGCGGCTTGTATTTTGCACTTTTGATTTACAGGTCGAACTCTTGTAAAAATAAAAGTTAAACTCTTGTAAAAGTGTTATTAAATTTGATTCTTACTATCTTTTACACTTGTAGCACTACACTTGTAATTACAAGTCGGGCACTTATAATCTGGACTTGCAACGATACCTATTATACTCGTTTTCGTCTGCACTTTGAAACACATTGGTCCTAGTTGTAGATTACAAGTGTAAAAGTTTTACTAAATTAACCCCTGCTTTCTGTAAGTTTCCGAAGGTGCTGACAAGGAGAATTTGTTTGACAATCAAGAGATTCTTTTGTCGACGAACATTTCCTTTATTCTTGTGACCTTAACCCTTTAGCTCCCAGGGGTGATTAACATGTACTTTCGCCCTATAATATCCAAAGGTTATCTAACAAACGGGTGGTGAGAATACCAAAACTTATCAGGTAGAAGTTGTTATCTTGATCAAACACCAAATTCTCGTAACTTATTCATAAGGAAATGTGTAACAAGGAAATGTGTAACAGCCAAAGGAAAGAATTATCAGTCAGATCTTGGGAGTTAAAGAGTTAATGTGTGATTCGGGGGTGACCATGTAAAGATGAATTAGATGCTAGTCTAAAAGGATTAAGCCATCAAAATTTGGGGCCATTCGTCCGCACTAGAGACTATAGCGTGAACTTTCAATTTCTCAATTAGTTTTAGGAAATCCTCATTTCAAATTTCCTTTTCTTTCCTAACTGTAAGGAGTTACTGTAATCAAGCCACTCTAGGGTATCTGATTCAGTTATGGTAGTTTTGAACATAGCTTTGTTGCGTCAGTGTAGGTATAGTTATTAAATCGCGTTTAAGGAGTGGTCATTATTTCCCGCCTGGGGTGGGGTGGAGTTGGTTCGGAGCATTTTGGTTGTGTTATCTTAAAATTTACCTGATCCTCCCTCTCACTGGCAGTTAATTGCAGTCACTTTAGTATAGTCCCCCCTTTTACACTCTGTTGGCGAAGACTGATGCCCCCTCCGTTCTCTGTTTTCCTTTCTCCCCTGATAACCATATCATTACAAATCATCCAAACCCCCCCACCTCCTCCCCACCCCAAACCTCCATTCGGTCGGTAGACAATGACTGGTTCATTAATCGGAAGCATATAAGTTACGGCCACGGTAAACACCGGCGTATAATGAGCCGCACGTCTTTGCCCAAAATTTTTACAATGAATCAGGGTTGCAGCTTATCAGCGAGAAAATCGGGAAGTCCCATCATGATATATGTTTCTGGTTTATCGATACGTGCAAACAAGGAATTCCATTAATATGTCGATCACAACTTCGTTACTTTATTTTCAACATGTCCTTTATAAAAACGCTTGTGACAAACCTGTACTTACCCAAAATTGCGTTAATAGCAAAAACGGGCGAAGCAGCCTTTATGTAAAGGCTAATGGCTATGACTAGACTAAACTGTGCGTTTTAACATGCCAGCTTTTCAACATTTCAAATTTTATTGCTAAACTGAGCCAATGAAACAAAAGCAGCTAAAAATTATCATGATGAGATAAAGATAGCTATTCAATGACGACCAAGAAAAAATAGCTGTGGCTGTGAAAAAAGATCTTTAGTAAACAAGGTATCGAGCTTTAGCTTGGTAAGCAAAACAAACAAAAAATATAAAGCAGGTGATTTCAGATCAGTCCGAATTGTGTTTCGTATAGTTCAGTCACAGGCAGAAAGCCTGTGAATATATGTATTATGTACTGAATATTTGAATTATGTTTTAAGAGAACGTCAGCAGTTGACATTCTCTTGATACATACAAAACTAAGATTTGTAACATTTGATCTCTTTGTTTTTGCAATTTTGTAAGTCAAATTTTGTCGAATTAAACATGTTTGCCCATATCTGATAACCTCCAATGTTTTGTAGAGGTTCATGTCTTACAGATATAATACTGAGACCACACGTCACTTCACCTACACTATCTCCATGTTCTACTGATTAAGTATCCCTAACTTCAATTTTCTGTCCCGGTAATTTCAAGGATAAAGCACCACATCAATTTCAAACAAAATTTTGGTAAGCTCAGAAAATTTACATATAATATGTTCTCGCTGGATAGAGCTTCAATGGTCCTCTCAAAGTCCATCGCACTAATAATACATTTTTACCATCAAATCTCTGAGAGTTACATGTCAGATGATTCCTACCCCAAACATAACTTATGATTACCGCTATTGCTTAAGCAGGTACATTGCAATGTGATTATGTACCAAATGCATATATTGTTATTACGTGACGGATCTATATAAGTGCTTGGGAAAATTCTTATTTGTAATGTGGTTGCTTTACAATTTTCAAATTAAGAGCTTCGCAGTAATGCAACGATATAATGTCTGTTGGTAAATCATATTCAAACAACCCAGCCTTTTTAACCAAAAATTCTAGATCTTAAATTACCTCCTTGAGTTCTCACTACACTCACTACTTCTCACTACTTCTACTACTTCTCACTACTCTCTGCCGCAGGCACTGATTCAAAAACTGAATCTTCATGATAGGATATGGATCGGAGACGGACACCGCTTCCCAGCTCCGGAATATCGGAGGTGACAGTGCTTTGTGAAAACGTTGAGAGCCGGCGAAACGATATGCACGGTTCAGCCCGTTTTACAGCTGGTTTACGCTTTTTATAAACAGCCTTAAAACTTTTGTTGGAAAAGGCAAAAAGAAACGGATTAAGTGCTGAGTTAAGGTAACCAAACATCAACAACACTGGGTGAACTTCGTAAGGAAACGGTTCCCAGTTTTCTCCGTCGATAGCACTAGCAATGGCAAAATAAAAGTAAGGTTGCCAGCAGAAGAACAGCGCCAAAACGAACTTTGAAGTCGTCTTAGCCGCTTTGACATTTCTCAAATACACCCTTTTTTCATCCTTGGAGGGCTTTCGAGTCGAAGGAAAGGTGCCTCTTTTGGTGGATCGATTGTTCTTGACAGCAATGCGATATATGAGGACGTAAAAAAAGCATGTGATCATCAGCGGAAGAATAACATTAAGAAAGGACGAAACAAGGATATAGTTCTTTGTGTATGGCAGTATGCAGATGCCATCATCATCTGCTTCTCCTTCCTCTCGCCAACCCATGAGGACGAAAAACGGCCATAGTGGGCAATACAGCCAGATGATCGCTATAACAATTAAAGCTCTGGTTTGGGTCATGAACTGTGAATTCTTAAACCGCGACAAAGGATCACTGAGGGTTTTATATCGATCCACACTGATGATCAATAGGCTGAAAATCGAGATGGGTATAGTTATCATGTACACCACCTGCCAAACTATGCAGAATGCTCTTCCATGATTCCATGCACCGTCAAGGAAAAGTGATTCTATATCAAACGGTACCACGATCGTTGCCGCGAGAAAATCTGAAAGAGCCAAGGAAAAAATGAAAAGATTCGTCGGATTGTGGCGGAGATGCTGGTTAGCAAGTATTGCGAAACAGACCAAAACGTTTCCAAAGACCGCCACCACTGTGATAACTATGTAACAGGCTGCAACAGGATACGGAAACTCTGGTCTGAAACCAAAGAAAACGTCTTCGTCGGTGGACGGATCTGCAGCGGAACTGTTGTTCATTCTTAAGAGGCTGTTTTGGAACGTAAATATGTCGCGGCTCTAGGTTGTAAAGAATTGAACTAAAACTTTCCCCGTAGCTTACTGGAGTTTTCTACCTTTGTAACGCACCGGTCACTGCAGTATTCGATTTGCTCAACACAATAAAGCGCCAAAAGAAATTGATTATCGGCCGTCTCTTACAGCTTGAGATATTTTTAAGGTTTTAATTACCCGGTGGCACTTGATTTTGGCAGGGTATACCATACTCAATATCACTCTGACGTCTCCTTATTTATTGAAACTGTAAAAAGAAACCTAGAATTTTCGATGACTATATCACTTTATAAAATAATTCAAACAGTACGCGCGCTCTGATTGGTCATAAAACCATTTTACATGAGCGTATGTAAACACGGTTTTCGTTCCTCTTTCATTAGTTATTTCATAAAAGAAATGTAAAATGGTTTCCGTGTTTACATAGCCTGATGTAAACACTTGGGAGTTTGGGAACCTCCCAAGTGTTTACATCAGGCTACGTAAACACGGAAACCATTTTACATTTCTTCAATGAAAAACTGACAGATTCAAATTGAACCAGACATTTTAAAAGATGTATGGTTCAATTCATGTCCATGCGGCTTAAAAGCTCCAAAGACTTGGGTTAGATTTTCGTCTGCAACCAAATGATATAACTGAGCCACAGTAAAATATATGAGGAAACTTCTAAAAATAACTCTTCGGGCTTAAAAAAAGGGATATTGCGTGAAATTTAAAATCTTGAAATATCTGAAACACAATGCTAACACAGAAATATTCATTGTACTGTTACGTCTTATTTGGTTGAATTCACACCCGATATTTCACACATGCTGAAAGATTATATTTTTCAGAGATTAATGATTGAGTTGACATAATGCATTGTCTTGTATACTGGGCGGAGAGCTTTCCATCAAAATTATCATTATTGTGTTAAATCATCTAATGCGGTTCCCACTTATTTCCTAAATTAAAGTTAAGTATTACAGAACGTTGACCGGGAAAACTTCATTAAATTTTCTCAGTTTCTTTACAAAAGCATGCATATTGATCGGTCTGAGTCAATTTGGCAAACTTCAGCTCATCCTTTAGATGACATCTAGTGAAGTCTTGTCGAAATCATTTCACCTTCACATACAGTATAGCTATAACCTATTTCATAAAACTCTAAAGGTCAACTTGGTAAGAAATTAACTATCTGGAAGCAGAGTGGTCGCGCTGATAGGGAACTGGGTCTATATCCTCTCATCCTGCATTTCATCAGAAATAATTTTGGTTGAGGTGAGTTCTGCTTCTGCTCGTCAGCTGTGCCCTGTAAAACGCCTTTTAGTATGAATTTAAACAGTTGGATTTTTCTCATGTAATATCTTTTTCGTTGTTTGTTTACATCCAACCTTAAAGATCCCTCTGATTTAAGTTTGGAGAGTGGTCTTCTAAGCTCTTTGTCAACATTCGCTCTGCTGAGAAAACGAACAGCTATAACTAAGAAGTTTAGGTTGAAACTACACTGTTTTAGTATCGTGTTAAATCTAGCAAGTTCAGTGACATTTGAATCCTAAATTGACAGGTGTGATCGATGTTTTAGGGAAGAAAACCTTTTTGCATACACAGCTCTGAAGTTCTTCTTCCGAAATACGAACAGAAAGGGATTCAGCGCCGAGTTGAGAAAACCAAACATCAACAGCACGATGTAGACTTCGTGGTCAAACGATGTCCACTTTTTGCTGGTAATGATGTCAGAGACAAGCCAAAGGGCGTATGGCAGCCAGCAGACGAAAATAGCCAACACGGATACCGAGCTCCTTTTGGCTGCCTTGATATTCTTCAGATACATCTCTTGTTGTTCATTCGTGAGTTATTCGGATGAATTATGCTTTGTATTGCTTAGAGCCTTCTCGTGCTTTCGTATTATGTGATATACTAGAACTTAAAACGATTGTTGCTGAAGGCGTACAAAAAGGGATTAAGCGCTGAATTAGGGTAGCCCAACCACAACAACGACATGTAAACTTTGCAAGGAAACGATTCTTTCCCTAGAATGGTTTCGACGATGATGAAATAACAGTAAGGCTGCCAACAGAAGAAAAGCGCCAACAGGATGGTGGCGGTTGTCTTAGCAGCTTTGACATTCTTGAAATACATCCTTTTTTCTTCTTTAGTAGGTTCCCGGATGGAGGGGAAAGCCATCTCGTTTGGTATATCGATTGTTTTTGACAGCACTACGGTAAATCAAGAAAAAAAGAGCGAAGAATGCTGTATTCTTTAGTATAGGGCAGCATACAGTTGTCTTTATCATCTGGCTCTCCCTTTTCTCTCCAACTCATGAAGACAAAAAGTGCCCATAAAATGCTGTAGAGCCAGATTACCACGATGACTAGTAAGGCTCTTTTTTGAGTCATGAATTGTGAGCTCTTAAACCGAGCCAGAGGATCTCTGAGGGTCTTGTATCTATCCACGCATTTTGGATTACTTCAAACAATTTGACGCCAGTGATGGAAACAAGCTAAATATTTGAAGCATCAATAATATATCCAACAGTATTGATCTGTTCAACCGCGATAATTGAGTTTTGGCAGAGTTCACTACTTTTGTTATTATTTTTTAACTATGTCTCGACATCCGTTTGGAGTGACATTGGATGAGCAACTGACACTATTATCGGTAAAACATGCACAGCTGTTATCTAACTTACTCGGTGGGGAAACGTGATAGCTGCTGTATACAAAAAGGACTGAACCTAAAGCTGTAATCACGTGAAATGTCGCGAGAACAGGATAACAATAGGCATTCTGCGCGATGCTAAAAAAAGAGGAATGATGACGGAGCGAAGAGAGGCAGGAATCAACTCCATAGGTAAAAAAAAACCTGACCTGAAGCCGCAGCTTTCTGACCAGACACGCTTTCGAGAAAAAAGTAAATCTGGCAATTAAGCAACCAAAATGATAAATTGTTGTGGATTTCTTCAGCTGCGATTTTACCGACATGCCTCCTCTTTGTAATGAGCGAGAGAAAAACACGTGCATAATCGTGTCGGTGTTGATTCCTGCCTCTCTTCGCTCCGTCATCATTCCTCTTTTTTTAGCATCGCGCAGAATGCCTATTGTTATCCTGTTCTCGCGACATTAACTTACAGTAGAAAAACAATTATAGATCTGTAATATTAGCAGCAAAGCGTAATCTGGAGAGCTTTGATTGGTCAGAGATTACGAAAGCAATCATATTGATATGCCGTTAATTTTAGAATCTGCTTTTTTTGTGATATAAACTCATGGTGAGGAAAGGAGGTCGGAAAATGAACAAAGCCACAGCAATATTTCCTGTTAAGCTGTTCCCTCCGGCCTTCTGGGCAAACACTTTTCAAAGAAGCTTTTGACATGTTCGATGACTGATACTTGTGTGCCTAGGATGTTGAAAAATCGTTCAAAATCGGGGGAAAAGGACGCCGAAATGAAATTAGAGATACCATTCTTTCTTCAAAAACAAATTAAACACTTCCTTCTTAGTTTGCTATCATCACTTAAATTAATATATCGTAGTCGATTGGGAAAGCTAGTTTACTTAACTAGCTATCTCAATTAAGGATTTACCTTGTAGGCGAAAGAAACGCCCTTTGTCGCTAGTTGATTAGCCCTGACTCCCTCCTGAGGCAACTGTGTCCTCATTACAAAGCCTTGGGCTTGCACTTATTGGCTACAAAAACCGCATACAGCACGTAGTTAGGGCTTAGCTAGAGATTCGCAGGTCGACCGTCTTTGAGGATAGGGTTTCAACAGACGCGTAACACGATCGCACGGATCTACGATCAATCATTACGATCAAGACGCGCTGCGAAGAGGAAATGCAATAAATTGAGACTATTCTGTTCCGTGTTGCTTCACAGTTCAATTTTCGCTCCTCAGTTCGTTGCGTTCGTTGTTTGGTTTACTTCCTCTTTTGAGCCAGCAAGGTCGGTCAGCGAGAAAATTTCCAAAGCACTCTGGGACGGATCCTGGGACAGCGGAAACTAAAGAGAATGATGATATGGTATCTGGCGGTATTTGAAGTTTAAAACAATCATGTTTGGAAAGAAAAAGCCCAATGATCCCTCTGCTGAATGGACAAAGACTGGCAGTTTTGTTCACAAGCCTCAGAGAGGATGGCTTCATTCAGACAATTCGCTGAAGGAAGGCGGAGTTTGTTACGCTGTGAAAGTGAGTTGATGCTATGATCGATATTTTGAAACTCAAATAATTTTCATACAAATTAATTCAGTGAGTCCATTCACGTTCGATTTCAAGGTATTTTTGTTTCTCCCCTGTAAATCTGTTACAAATCAGAGTTTGATTATATTCAAGTCTAGGCAACTTTGATTCGCGGCCATCAAAATACCGCACAAGAGGGATCTTACCAGAATTAGTGTTTCGATCGATGAGGATTCCGAATTAATCTGTTTTTAATCATTGTTCACAGTATGTTGGCTGTTTACAAGTTCTAAAGTCCATGCGAACTCTCCCGTACGATCTTCGACAACAAGTTACAAGGTAAAATTTTAACTCTAACGAACATCAGGAACTTCTACGCAGTAATACTATACGTATACATGTTCACTCATGTTATTTAAAAACAAAAGAACGTAACAAGGTTTCTATCTGACATCATCGATGAAATAGCGTCCCATGAAATCATAAAATAGTGGCTCCAAAATAAGGCAAAGATTATGCTCTTTTTCCTGTGTATCTAAATGACTATAAATGACTATCTAAGTTTGTAAACAGTAATTGATTTTTTGAGAAAGATTGAGTTACATTTTTTTTTTATCACGCAAACATCATGATTTAATATTCATACCTTTGAGTTGGTAAAATTTTTTGAGTTATTGTATACTTTACATTCGCAGATCTTGAAATACTTTAAATCAACTACAGTATATCTCAGTTTAAGTGTTTCAGAAGAGGAAAAGTGTTCTTGGCCTTAAGTTTAACTCTTGCTCCTATGTTTGACCCCCCTATGGTTATAGTTTCCGACCTGTTTATTTCGTCAACATAAAATTTATGTGGTAATGCAGTGACATTCATGTAGTATCACCGAGGCTCACTAACTCCTGGCTTATCTGGTAATTGAAGTGTACAGTACAAATCTCCAAGTCTCTCTCGGCAGTTCAAGTGACAGTAAATCTCTCATATGAAGTTGACTTGGATTTTGGACTCAAAGATTATTTTTTTGTCTTTAAACAAAAATGAAAAGGGATTATGAAAAAAAGTTGGGTTTTTTTAGGCTAGCTAGGGGGTATTTTTTCTTATTTCAAATAGTGAGTGTTCTTTCTAATGGCTTTTCATTGGTTGAGAGAGACTGACCAAAGTGAAAAATTACCAAATTTAGACAGGGGCCTATTTTACCTATTTTGCCTATTTCGAATAATGGGTATTCTTTGCAATGACTTTTTATTGACTGAGAGAGGCTGACTAAAGTGAAAATTACCAAATTTAGGAAGGGTTGGGGATGTGACTCAAAGTAACAGATTTCCAGAGGGTGGTGTCTTTATGGTAGTGTGATGTGGATATCAAAATAGAATCATTAGCAATGTTTACTCTTTTTTTTTTACTTTTTAAATCTCAAAACTTATGTATCTATTCTTTGCACTTCTATCTACAATATATTTCTTGTTTAATTAGCTCTGAGAATTTGCTTTTAAATCAAACAATATTCCTTACTGAATATTTTTCTTCAGTTTCATTTACATTCCTCTCTGAAGTTAAAGAGATAACCATCAAAGAATTATGTGATGGATATTCAATTTTCCCTGTTCAAACTCTCATACAATTTTGCTGCAGACCTATTAACCAAATAACTCCCAGGATGTAATTCTTAATTCTTCCCTGAAGCTGCTACACATTTCCTTCTAAATTAGTAACAAGAATTCGGTGTTAGATCAAGAAAACAACTACCTGGAGTGATAAGTTTGAGTATTCTCATTACCTGTGTGCTGGATAATGTATAGATATAATGGAGAGAAGTTATCTGTCAATCACTTCTGGGAGTAAAGTAATTTAATAAATAAAGTATTGATTCAGAAACATTTTTGACCTCAAATGTGTTTCGATGTACGATGGTGATATTTTTTGCATTGTAGGGAAGCTATCTTGAGATGTTCTGAAGCTGCTGGCTATCAGCTGTCAAGGAGAAAGAAGGTATGTTATGGAGAAACGTAATAACTTTAGAAAAAATTTTCAACCAGCATAATTAAAAGTTATCAATAGCTTTTAATGTCCTTTTTACTCTTCTGCTCCCTCTCTGATATCTTTCTCAGTGGCCAGGGTATACAGGGAAAAAAACAATCACCAACAACTTGAGTGTTCCTGTACATTTTCTTTATTGAAAATAAAATCTTTTTTCTAGAGGGCTGTACTTCCACAAAGCTTTTTATCATGATGATATATTTTGAGTTAGGTATATGATTGGTCAAAATTTTTAACGGCATTTTTTGTGGTCTTTATCAGGCAGGAAAGAACATACAAAAGCTTCTAGGAGGTAATGATTGGAAGGATGTACTATTGTTAAGTCAGTTATGCTATAATTTGTTTTTTGGAACTGTGACTATTACTTTTTTGATTACCCTGCTCAAAATTAAACATGACTTTCTATGTTTGTTGAACACAAGTTATGCAGTTTATGATAAGGATGCATTAACTTGAATGTTCATGTACCTTGTACATTTAATTAAGGCTTTTTCTTAATCTTGAACTTTATTCAAGTGTTAAACGAATCCCAAAAAAATGTGGTAGTCCTTTTGATATTATGAAACTGAATGCTGTTCATACAACTTGTGATAGAGCCTGTACACATAATAAAGGTTTTTTCTTTATCTGTGGGAACCTGCTGAGGATAAAAATGTTACCCTGTTGACACAAAAAAATGTGAGAACCAAGAAGATTTTATGAGTACTTAGATTACATGTGGATGTGGGCTGCTTATTTAAAACAGTTTTTTTATATTCCAAATTGAAAACAATTATTATCAGTAAGACTAGCAGTTTTCTTTTCTCCCTTGTAAAATATTTAGAAGTCCCTGGTATGGCAAACTCTGGCTGTGCTGTCAACATGACACTGTCATCCCTTGGTATCAAGTTGACAAGCATTGAAAATGGTAGAATTGTCGCTAATCATGACATGCAAGGGATTTCATTTGCTAGTGGAGGAGAAAAGGTATTTGATGGACAAGTCTAAGTATAGAATGTGGATCTAATTGCAGCAAGAGGTGAATAAAGTTTTCAACTTAAGGCAGACTGTCGTCATTCAATCCTTGTGGTTGTTTAGAGTTTCTCATTATTTGAATTGACAACTATGCTTAGTGGCAAGATTACTGTGCCAGATTTTAAATGATGGCATACAAAGCAAACTTTTGTCTCTTTCAAATAAAGCAAATTTCATTAACTGAGGTTAAAAAACCCTTTCTCAGCTATAACATATTTGCTTATTGTCAGTTGTATTTGACTTGCATTGATATACTTTTCAAAGTGGAGATTAAAGTTTATGGTTTGTCGAGCTGTTACACTTAAAAATCCCCTTGATCAGCGTAAACAATTGTCTTTGGTTTCCCTATGAAACACATTAGTTTCTAGTAATTATTATTTTGCTCTTTTAAATCTGTCATTGAAATAGTCTCTGTAGAATTTAATGTCAAGTGTCATAGACCCAAGAGCTAAGCTAAAAAGAAAAATTTTGTGGGACATTTTTTTTATAGGACTGCATTGATATGATAGGATATGTGGCAAAAGATCATGTTAATGGAAGAGGTTTGTATTTTGTAATGGTTTTCATTTGTATACTTTAGATAACAGATAAGGAAGGATTGTCTTGAAGACTGAGTCTGAAATATATTTATGTTACATGTTCTATTTACAGTTGTAGTGTTACAACATTCTTCTATATAAATTACAATCTAATTGCATTACAGATAAGTGTATATTCTAAATTTGTGAAACATGTATACATTATGCTCACTTTTTCTTACTTGATATGGACAATTGCATGTATGTACAATCAAATAACAAATTCATTTGTTTACAGCAGTTTCAGTAACATGCCAAGTTACTGACATAACATACAATTATAAACAAATGCGGGATTACTGTTTAGACTATGCTAGCCATCTTAATGTCAAGTGTGGCTGCCTCTCTTTCAAGCCCTTTGTGGTTATTGTACCCCATGTATAGTTTATAATTGCTGTAATTTAATTGTAACTGTTAAGTACAAAATACTTTTGTTATAGTTAGTACATGACTTTGTATTCATATATGATGCATTATAATGAAAGCTTACATATAATAACATCTATTTTCTTTCAGCTTGTTTTGTTCTGGATTGTGGAGGTGGGCTAGCTTATGATGTGATCAACACCATAGGACAAGCCTTTGAAATCCGTTTTAAGATGTTTTTACAGAATCCACCTCTTGCCACTGAGGTTCCTGAAAGGTAAGATGCCGAGACCACATGGTTGTTCTATACTCAACTGTAGAAACATGACCAGCAAAGTTAACGCCTTCAGTGTCTTCCTCCTCTGTTCTACTCCCTCTGATATACCGTGAGTCTACTGTGCTTCTAGAGCTAAGTGATTTGGCAAGTTAGTGGTTGTTAAGAGTTTCAAAGCTGACGTTTCAAGCATTAGCCCCTCATCAGGGTGAGTGGCCAATTACCTTTTTATACTCTTCCACCGATGCAGCACCACAGTTGTTTTAGAAACTAGAGCAGCTCATATTATGCTTTGTGTTCTGATGACTTTAACTTGTCTCATTCTCTTGTCAAATTTTTCAAAATTATTTAGATAATGATGTAGCATTGTCTCTTATTGTTAATACTGTATTTTTTAATCATTTCTAAGTCTTGTCTTTAAAAAAGAAGAAAAGATTACCATATTTCACATCTCTGTGTTATCAAATGTTGACAATTTTTCCTGATTTTGCACATGTTATCAGTTGGTTTTGAGTTGCTTTGAAGGTAGTTGGAGCCTCAGAGATATTTTGTTACTGTCACTTCCAGTTGTGACCAATGGTTAAATATTCACTATTGTTTGTTGAATGTGCGATACAATGAGTGAAATTTAAACTATTTGCTTACAGATTTTCGGATACATTGTTTGATGAGAGTGAAGATCATACCTATGAGATGGAGTATGAAGAACCAAAGAATGATGGATCACATGTATGAACACATTGCTTAGTTGTTCGCAGAAAGCATTTTGAATCATTAAACTAGTCATCAAGAATAATGGAAACTGAAACTATCAGTTAACAAGTTTTGACCGAATTTGTCAAATTCGTTAAGAGTCAAGCTTGTTCATTAGGTTTTTTTTTTATATGCACAGCTCCTATCTGCCCCCTTTTTTCTCCTCCTGGTTGAGGGATTGAAATAAAAGAATGTTACGCGGCCCATGAGGTCATTTTGTCTTGTCGTGTGATTCTGACAGCTCATGGAGGCCATATTCTTTTTTTTTACTTTTTTGCAGTTGAGTAGACACAAAGCTTTGCATTATTTCCATGAAAACACAATGAATACACATGAGTCAAGTGGATTAAATTTTGCAGGAAATTACTTTAAGGTCGCTCTAGGGGCTTTTGATGTAAAGAAAGATAGAAATAAATACTAATTCATTGGTAATTTATTTTCACTCATCTTCAGTTGCCGTCGCATGCATATGAAGCTCCAATTGATTCACGGCCAGCTGGTTACATGACGCTGAGAAACACATCATCAGATGCACTTGGAGACTATGACAATCCCAACAGACTGATGAATGCACATGGCTACGATGTCCCCAAAGGATCTTTGGTGGGTTACGAAGCCCCCAAGATCCAACACAAAGGTAAGGTTGGTTATGATGTGGACCATGTAATCTCGTAAGAAGTGTGGAGTACAAATACTTTCCTATAAGCTTTTGAAGGTAATTTAATGAGTTTTCTCAACTGAGTTACATGTAATAATGTGAATTGGCCACCGTAGAGAGTTTCTGAAGCTGGCGTTTCTCGTTTGACTCGTTTTTTTCTCTCCTTTCAACTTTAGGTGACTATCAGAATCCATCAGCGCGATCCAATAGCAGAAATGGCGTAAACCAGCCCGGTAGCCTTAAGTTCGCTGCAGGGGCGTGTTATGAGAATCCTAACAGTGCTGCTTTCTACGAGAATCCGCTTGCTACTCCTAGAGTACCTGATAGAAGTGATAGCTTGGAGAGACATCCAGTTGACCAGCTAGACTTTTCAACATACGCCAACCCTTCCTCTCCGCCCTCTGGATCAGGTGGTTAATTATTTTGTTTCGTACCTGCTTATTAGCATATTCTGCCCTTTAAAAACGTTTTCTTAGTACAGAAAACTTACTTTTAGAGATCGCCTCAAAGCCTTTTAATGCAAGGTTTCTAGAACTTTTTTTCTACTCTATGGATGGCGTGCATTTTAAGTCTCCACATGCTCTTCTGTTTAAACTACAGCTTTTTTTAATTTTCAATTTTGGTTGTGTTTTGGTAAATCTTTCGGAAAGAGTGTTTCTTTTCAATACGTGATACATCATTTAGTTTCTTATACCCTACGAAAAAACTTTCAAACATTCAAGTGTGGTGTGTAATAACTTAGTGAGGTCAGATAAAAGTTTTACGGGTAAAAATGTTTTAACCCATGTACAGACTTCTTCTTACATTCTTACTTGTGAGTTTAAATGTATAGATGTCGATATATTATCTTCATTCATTTATCTAACGATGGGTAGATTGAATGTGTATTTCTTTGTTTTTTTCTCTTTAGAGAAAGAAAATAAGTGGGCAACATTTGATGAGGAGATGCCACCTCCTCCACTCCCAGCGGTAACTTATCCGGATGATCACGATTACCATACTCCCCGCCCCACCCCCACCCCAAGGAAAAGGCCCCCTGTACCTAAGCCATATGCTGCGACTAAGTCAGAGAAAGAAAAGGAAGACCGACAGCAGCATCAGCAACAATCAGCGCCAACAGATGGTACATTTACATTGTAACCTATAAAATAGTTTGTTCATTGGCTGAATATTTTCCGTAATCGTCCAGAGTGCGTGAGAAATTTGACAAAGGAGGAATTTAACCCTTTGACCGCTAAGAGTGACGAACATCTAATTTCTCTTTACAGCATCACCCCTGTATCACACACTTACGGTCAGGAGAATAAAGGAAATGATCTCCATCTAAAAAAGCTTGTGATTGTTTGACAAATTCTCCATGTCAGCACCTTAAAAAAATGTATAGCGAACCGTTAGGAGAATGTGAATACTGATGCTAAAGCTATTTCTTTGGCGTACTTTAAAAAAAAAGACAATTCGGGACGATCATTGAACACTAATCGACAATCGGTGATGTTCAGGTTATTCTGATCTATGTAATGATTTTGTCAAGAAAACTCTGGCCCGACATCCAAGGCGTATTTTTTTAAACAAGAATTCAGGGCAAATTTTTGTAAACAAGAATAGGAAATGTGGAGGTTTGGCAGGCTGTACCAAGGATTTTCGTTTTCATGGGATCTTTTCCATCACAGGTGCTCAATCCACCCCTCTGGAGTCTGAGGTGTGGTACCACGGTCCAATGTCTCGTGCCGAAGCTGAACTTCTTTTAGAAGATGAAGGAGACTTCCTGGTGAGAGAGAGTAAATCAAAGGCGGGACAGTATGTGCTGTCTGGAGTTCAAAACGGACAGCCTCGACATTTGTTGTTGGTGGATCCAGAGGGCAAGGTTCGTACAGCCTTTTGCCACGCTGAGAAATCTTTTTTATTTATGACGATGCTGTTATAGTAAAGCGTTGTTAACTATCAGAACGCTACATTGCTTCAATTTTCATTAGGGTGATGATATTTTGCCTGGGTGGGGCACCAGTCTAGTATTTTTGATTGATTATTGGTCACAAAATTTCCTGCACCCCTTCGCTTCAGGCTGTTCCGTTTTCTTTAAGCCAAACGGAGTCGCGCGAAGGAATTCTGTCGCCCCATGCCCACACGCGGCTCCCGCTTCATCCATGCTCCCTCACGGCATAAAAGAAACGAAAAAGACTTGAAAGCAGGCTAGTTGGAATTACCACGCTTGTGTGAGAGGGAAGGGTCTCGCCTCGGCGCATTGGACCCTTTGATGCGTACTCTTGCGCGCAACCACGACTACGCAAATAATTTTCCAATTTCTGCAATCCTGTTTCAACAGTTTTCACGGCCAAGCACGCTAACAAGTTAAATCTTCTAAGTCAGACCAGTAATTAATAATGGTTTTTTCAAAAGCGAAAGTCGTCTTTTTAACTACAGGTTAATTCTTGGTTTTTGTCCTCCACAGGTTCGAACGAAAGATCGCGAGTTTTCAAGTGTTCAAGAGCTCGTTGTATACCATGTAAACAACGCTGTGCCAATCATCTCGTCGGGTAGCCAGGTCACAATAACACACCCTGTTCACAAGCAATAACTGTTTTAACCTAACAACGATTCTTTTTAAGGCTAACCTTTGTGAAAACTGCAGCGACTTGAATCAATTATGTAAGTGTGTTTAAAGGACAAGTTTGACTCGTTTGATGCCCACACTACCGCTTCGTTTCTGCAAGTTAAGAGTGGTACTTCAAATACTTTGCATAAATACTGATTTGTAAAAACGATAGGAATTTATAGGGCGGGGCTGTGTTCATTAACTTTTAAGACACTTTCAGAATCGTCGTTTGATTTGAGGAGAGCAGCCTTGTGATTTCTTCAAAGTACTCTCAGCTAATGAAGCCAAAGTTCCTAAGCCGAATTCTTTTTATAAAGTTTTGTACAAATAATACTTGTAAGGTTTTGTAAAACTTCGCTAACACAACTTTTTGATCAAGTATCGCGTCGCACACAACACGATAGGAGTTAATGTTTTGTACAGGTATTGACAAAAGTATGATGTATTGTAGAGGGATTTTGAGGAAGGGTGTTCATCAGAATGGTATAGAGCATTTTGATTGAGTGCCCAGTACCCCAAACCGTAGTAATCAGTACAGTCAATCATAACAGAGACAAATATCTCAGAGGTCAATCAGAATGCGAAGCAAAAGTAAAGAAACTATCTAAAGTGCGGGAAAATGCCGTCGTGTGACCAAGTTGTTATGATTGGTTTAAGTTTAGCATCTGATATGATTTGGATGTTAGCGCGAGTTCTTCGAACTATTTACCGAACTTACTAATGCAAAAACAATGAAATCCCGGAGAACTTTCGTAAAAACTGTTCCACAATCAATCCAATTTTTTCTACAATTTTTGTAGAATAATTTAGTACAGTTATTAATATAATATAAAAACGAGATTTGCCAAATGAATTGACTTCTTTTTAGAATGCTGATCAATTGATTGAAATAAACCCGATAACTAACAGCTCATGAATAAAGATAGTTGAATATGCATGTTAACACCAGCAAGCTCTGGTTTGGTTTTAAAGCTAGAAATTGTGGCCCAGAAATACAAATAGTAATAGCAGGTCTATTATTTTGAACTGAAAATCAAGTAATTTTACACTTTTTCTCCGCACAACTCTTATTGTAGTATTACTAAAGTTGACACTTTATATAACAACGGGTAGGAAAAGAATGCACTTATGCCCTGACGTTCAATTTTATTTCAAGTAAACAGTTGTGTTAAACTGTTTTTTTTTTCTTATTTGAGAAAACATAAAAGACGACCCTAATTGTTGTATCACTCATATAACAATAAAAATCTTTGATCAGCACCTAAACTTTCAAGTTAGCATCGAGTGTAGTATTTGTTACGTGGTTTAAGAAGAGGTGTAAATGTGTTTTTTTCGGTCACAAGGTTTAAAAAACCGAATCACTCTAGTGTAGGAGAGGGTTGTTAACTGCTGTATTTGAAATAAATGTTACTTGAATTTCTACATGTTGAATTTACTGGATTTTTTAATCATGATCAACCAAAAACGGAAGAATGATCTCCTAGAGGTGTTTCAAACAAGAAGAAATAATTTGAAGGTTCAAGGCTTTGAAGTCTGAAAAAACACTGCCTTCAGTGTAAGATGTACCGGTATGGATACACCAGTTAAGATAATTATTTTCCTAAAAGTCGCATCTTCTTCGAGCAAATTACCGACGGTAACCTCTTAGTAGGCCTTAGGCATTGTCTGTTATTTACAGAACGTGGCGGAAAGAAAAAAAAAAACGCTCAAACTGAGAAAAACCCCTTATGCTGTAGTCGGATACGAGAGAGGCACTACAGCGTACCAAACGGACAAGCTACAACTCTAGTTCTGCAGTGCTATAACTTCCAATGCCATTCTTAAGTTTATAACAATTTTAATAGTTCAATTTACACTTCAACTTAGAAAAACTTCACACCCTAGGTGACGGCTTTCCAAGACAGAGAGACGCCAGGGGCTAAATGAAGCAAAGAGGGACGGGCGCGGAAAACATTAGCAGTTTGAAAGCACTGATAAATTGACTCGTAAGACAGTTATCCGTCAATAACTTTAATGTTACTGCTTGATGACACATTTTCGACAAAGTGCGGAGAGAGCATTAACGAGGAGTCCTGGTACCGTGAACACTAAATCTCACAAACTTCCACTAATCTCGAGTTACGGTAAACCTGGGTAAAATTGCATGTTGGTCAAAACATATTAGGATCTCGATAGAAAAAGACTACTCTCTGCTGTAAGGAAACGAGATGAAACATTTGAGAGCGAAAACATTAAGGTTGGGGAGGGGGGGAAAGGGTGAATTTGTTTTAGTTCACAAGGCGAACTTGCAAAGATGGTAAGGACGAACTTGTGCTCCGATGGGGCGAAACCTCCAGATACCCGTCATTTGCAGTCTGTGTTAATTCCTTCTCGTTTTCTCAACTCACTATCGAATCTTTTCTAATAAACATTTATTTACATGTATGGCTTTTCTTTCACTCAGACAAAGACAATATACCCTACTTCAACAAAAACGCTATTCATCTATCGTAGAGCCGCGTGCTTGGTCAAAGATTTGTCTCTCAGTTTATTGTATTGATTTCCCCTGATATACTAAACCCATAATGACACTTCACAGCGTGTTGAAGAACCAGTTTGCGTCAATTCTATTTGGTTATCGAGGTAATTAATTTTAAATGGAACTGATCCCAGCAGCTTTGAGCCTTACCGTCTATCTTGCAACTCTCGTTGTATTTGAATCAGTCGTATGCTTAGAAAAACGTCATTCTAAAGAGAAGGGGTTTTATATTTACTTGAACATTCCATGATATTCAGACGCACGTGGTGCTTTCCTCGGTGCAAATGCTGCTGTCAATTTTCGATGGAAGTTGAGAGAATCACTTCTGATGATGTCAATGAACATTAAAATTCCACCACAGACTACCCTGACATTTTTCCGCCCGCAGTACAGCCTATGTCATGACTCAAAAGCAATTCGATAAATGTCAGTGTAATGAGAGACAAAGTGAACTTCAAGTCCTTCTTTGACAAATTCCGGTAGATCAGCAAAGTCTTTGCGATTTCCTTCGGGTAAAATGACACAGTCGACTTCTGCACGGCGGGCCTGTAAAAAAAATAGTAAGTAAAAGGAGCAGTAGTTTTTTCCTCGAGTTTCAGAAAAGTATGACTAAACTGACATTTTAGGCCTGTTTCAACGTTAAAGATGACGAGAATTCCGATTGAGTTTTGTGAAACGGAAACAGAAATAATCTCAACGACCTTTCAGAACAAAGGCACTTGGCGCCAGAAACATATTTCTCACACTCTCAGGGTCAGCTACTCTCATTACGATTCATCTGACAATAAACGACAAATTCTATCTCACCGCAATTGTTTTCTCTTTTATTCCTCCCACTGGAAGAACCTGATTAGGAAAGAAAAGAACGATATAAATTAAACTTCACCCAATTCAGGTTTTAGGGTTATGTTGGGGTTAAGGCTACAACGTCTTTAAGCAAGTCAAGGGAACATTCCATTGATCCTGCACGTACATTTGGATCAATGTCAGTATCTGCGCACCTGCCCCTCCCCTACGCTGACAACAGTTCACTGACAACAAGTTGGGAGTAATGCTTGGTTAGGGGAAGGGTAGGTGCATCGTTACTGAGATACTGACATCAATCCCACAAGTCGCTAAATAATTGACTTAAACTGTACTTTTGATCGCCAAAATGTTTTCTAGTTACCAATTGGCGACCAAAACGGTCGCAGCTTATAGCACTGTAATTTAAATAGAGAACACAGCAAACCTTTCCAGTGAGTGATACTTCCCCAGTCATGGTTATATTCTGTCTAACTGGTGTATTTTTGGCCAGAGACAGGAGCGCAGTGATGATGGTGCAGCCAGCTGATGGCCCATCTTTAGGGGTGGCTCCCTACAATCAACAATAGAGTACCAAAGGTTTTAACCGTTATTCAGTCTCTAGACCGGTCCCCTTGCAGCTGTCGCAGTAACATGGAACCAGAGAAATGCGTGCAAAACAAAGATTTCTCGACAATAGTAGAAAGTTTCCTCCTGTTTCTCATCATCTGTGACCTTGTTGCGGGGCATAACACTTATCGTTTGGTAAGACAGATGTTTTTTAAAGTAGTTCATACAGAAGAAACTCGCATACTTGCCATCAAAATTTTCAAAAGGCTTTGACCCATATGGTAAGTTTCAAGAGTTTCTTAAGTCCCACGAAAAATAAAACAACAACAACAATACAAATAATTAGCGTACTCCCCCCCCCTTCCTTCCTCCTCCTCCTCCTCCTCCGTGTAGTGGCTGTGAAAAGTCTAGAGCACACAACTTACCTCTGGAACATGAAGATGAATAGAAGCATGTCTAAAAAATTCATTGTCTGCATCTTCTTTCAATAAAAATTGCTGAAAAAGATTACAAGATGAAAATGTGTAAATATCGACCGATATCTTGTTGCTTAAATATCGCTTATCACCAATGAAGTTCATTCTTATCACAATATTCTGTAAAGCGACCCATGGAAAACTAGCGTTAGAAAGCGGGACGAAAGCAAGGTGACCAGACAAAAGTGAGTGAATTACAAGAAGTGAGAAAGGGAAATCACGAGATGTGTTTTACCAGTGAAAAGTGGGAACAAATAAGTGGAAATCGTGAACAGAGGGATTTTCGCATTTTAATCTAGACAGTAAACAAACCTTTGCAAATGTGTACGCTATACGTGAACTCTCCTTCATCACATCTCCTAGCTGGCCTGTTACTTCAAGAGATGGTTGACCTCTGCTGTCATCGCCAGAGGACGACTCGTTTAAAGAAGTTTCCACGTAGAGGGTGGTACCACCTACAACATAATGGATTAGTTACCATATCACACTTGTGCAGCTCTATTTTTTAAAAGGACAATGAAATTCAGTATTTACGAAAATCAACTTTTAAAACAGGATAATAACAAAATATCGTTAATCCAAGAGCAGAGAGGGGTGGTAACGTACCGAGTGAAGTCCAAGCTAGACCCATCACTACCCCTGGTGGGGTTTCATCATATATACGGTCACTGTTAAACAGTGGCTTGCCGACGTATTCGTGGAGATTCGCCTCTGTAACGCTCAATTCTTCTTCAGTACCCTGCACTATCCTCAAAGCAGCTTTACGGAAGATCTGTGATAAGAAATTACGAAAGGAAATCATTCATATAACACTTAACGGTACTTAAAAAAAAATATATATTTGAATCTCTTGTTGGGAAAGAGTTAAAAGAAAACACCTATCAAGTGAAATCTGAATTGACGACCATGCCTACATCGATGGATACTATCAAACTCTCCTAAGCAACCACCTATTTTAATTAACTTCACCCGAAACATCACATTCTGGCTTGTGACAATATCCTCTCAAATGGCCACAGTTTTGATGGTAGCTAACGAGAGATCGAGTTTATTGAACCCCTTAACTGAAGGGACCTTATGCAGACATTGTTCATGAATTGGGTTCAGCCGCAGACAATGTGACACGTGTAGTGCATGTACATGGTGCTAAGATCGCCAAAGTATAATATTTGCAGAAATTCAGGTCGAAGTGCCACTGGTCATCAAGATTGTGTGGCACATCACAAACTGATTTGAAGTTAAGAATGACAACTCTATGTCCGCATAAATCAAACCCCTCTTTGCGATAGAAGTGAGTCGTAATAAGCAAACTGACTCAGCCGAATCAAACAAGATCAGTGAGAACAAAGTCATCCGGTATGTAACATGAAAGTACCTTCTCTATATGTTTTTGAAGGTTCCTCACGCCACTTTCTCTGCAATAAGCTTTGATGAGAAGAGCCAGCGATGGATCGCGAATAGCTACTTGTTCTTCTGTTATACCTGCACTCTTTCGTGCTTGGGGAATGAGGTACGTCTAACAAAGATAGCACGTGTAGATAGTTAGTGTTGTATCGGGATTTCTTCTTGGTGTTGTTTAGCCTACGTGTAGCCGCCAAGATAAAACGGAGGCGAGGCCTCGCTCCCGATTCACCATCGGGGAAGGGTACAGCTACATGTGGGCTAGGTGTTGTTTTTCTTTCCGTATCGGATTACGTTACATAGAATTGCACTGTTTTGTAACGCTTTAATAAAAGCGAAAAAAAAAACATAAAACAAGTAGGATATAAATAATAATGGTAATAACAATAATAATAATAACAACAATTATAACAAACCTTGGCAATTGCTTTTTTCTCATCTTCTACATATCCAGATACGTTTATTATTTCCATTCTGTCTTTCAAGGCACCAGGAATTGTGTCGGTAATATTAGCTGTGCATATAAACAGAACCTGAGGAAAAAATAAGGAAAAAAGTAAAAAAGAAAGAATAAGTTTAAAGAATCAATTACAGCTGTTTCTCCACTAGAGCATCCACAGAAACACGAGCACCGCCACGGCCGGCCCAATCAACAACATACAATAGCCATAACTCGCCGAAAATCATCACAAACTGCCTTGGATGCGTGCAAACAACAAAAAATACAACTTTTTGCCCCGATGATTACATTTCATACTTGAACCATTTACAAACTCGCACGTTTCCATACAAACCTTTTTCTGTAGTTATAAGAGGAAGCGCGAGGCGGACGTGCGTGAACGGGCGCGCGAGAACGAGTGCGGAGGGTTTATCTTTCTCACCTGCCCGAAATCGCTAGCGTTCACGTTCGTTTATCGCTCCGTATGCCTACAAATTAGTTTGTTTTGCATCATACACTTAAGCCGAGTGTACATATGCAGATACGTGGAAAAAACTGAGCTGAAGCTGTCTAATACCTTGGAAAGATCCACCGGCACATCCAGATAATGATCGAGGAAACCCGAGTTCTGTTCAGGATCAAGAAGTTCAAGTAGAGCCGAAGCAGGGTCTCCCTGGACACCACGGCCAATCTTATCCACCTGAAAAAAAGCAAAGGTTTAACGGTGCATTCTCCGTAATCAAAACTTCATTTTAACATGTTTAAGATATGAATTTACACATACATGAATGTACCCCAGTAAATGTATCATGCAAAACCTCTAAAAAAAAACTCGCCATCTGGCCAGCACATACACCTTGAGATGAAAATTGAGGTACATGTACGACCACGCTTTCTGAGAATAAAGCTGGGAAACACGAATAAGGTTTCTCGGAGCATAAACGAAATCAAGCAAAAACGCATGTACGATAGTGAGAGAGAGATTCAGGACCGCAGAGGTCAGAGAGAACCGCTTACACTGCCTTAAAATGCGTGGTACATGTACTGTCAATTGAAGTTAGGAAATTTTGGTGGATTGCATTATCTCGTGCACATTCACTATACCTCATCAATAAGTATCAAAGGGTTTTCTGTTCTAGTCTTTTTAAGACACTGTATAATTTTGCCCGGCATTGCACCAATATACGTGCGCCTGAAAAGAAAAACAAAACAAAAGAGGAAAAAACATTGTTTATGTTCATCACCAAACTGCTATTCTCGTACAATTCAGCCAAAATATTAATGTACGTGCAGTTGTCAATTTTGCACATGCAGTGGAAGGAAAGAGTATCACAATCATGAAAACAGAACCACATACGCCGCGATGATCACAAAATTTTCAGCATTTGGCTACGTAAGAGGACTAATAATCAGAAGGATATTCTTGTCCCTTAACTCCCAGATCAAAATTGAAATTCTCCTTACTGTCAACCATACAATTCTTTTAATGTTAGTTCTGAGAATTTAGTTTTGGATCAACCCATTATCACGAAATTTATATTTTCTTTATTCTCATCACTAATCTGGTTGATATTGTATTGATATTGTCAGGAGAAATTCTGTTTTGGTCACTCATGGGAGTTAAATGGTTAAATTGAAAACCACCCTTTTCAAACATTCTTTACCAACCCACCTATGTCCTTTGATCTCAGCCACATCCGTCATTCCACCAACACTGAATCTAAAGTACTGTGGGTACAATAAATACTTAAGCTAAATATCAAAACCTATGGAATTTTCAGATTCCTTCCCGTGGATCTAAGAACCCACTAAGATTTACCTGTCTCCAAACAAATGGCATAGTACCTCAGCTAGTGGTAGTGCGCAATTCATCCGTAGGAGAAATGTGGTTTTCAAAGCCTGATACTTTTGTGAAGCCTCTCCTCTACATGCTTTTTTTAAATTGAGGTACATGTGCATTGTTGGGGATCACCTCCTCATTAGTCAAAATTGAAGGCTCAAAATATGATTAATTTTGATCTTAGATACAAGAGTTTTCACAAATAAGGTAGACAGGTTCTACGCAACTCAGGGTAAATAAAAAAAAGCTAAATAAAATTATATCCTCCCCCTAAATTTGGAAGATGCCAGTGCAAAATTGTCTAATTTTGACAAGTTAGGATTAGTTAGTGGCATTTTAAATGAAATAAATATGACCTAATATTTAATTTCATAAAGTGAGGAATAATCTTAAATTAATAATAATAATAATAATAATAATAATAATAATGATAGTAAATTCCTATGTAGATACAGTATTTATGATCATTTCTTTAGGATTACATTGAGACTTGTTTAAATATGTACCTGTCTGTTGAGTGCTCTTGCAATAGACCTAGCAATACTAGTTTTCCCCACTCCTGAGAATGAGAACAAAGCAATCAGTTGCTTGTACTGTGGTAAAATATCTCAATTTAACTTTAATTTTCAAAGCAAGTACAGAAAGTAACAACACTACAATGAGCTGCTACAGTTAAACTGTACCTGGTGGGCCTGTAAAACAAAGGATTTTTCCCTGAACAGTTGCATTCAACTGGCTTACAGCAATGAACTCCTACAAAAAAAAAAAAAAAAAAAACCCTTGAGACAGACTCAAGAAAGCAACAGAAATTGTGCTTAAGTGCTACCATCACGTCATTTCACCATAATTATCGTACCAATATTCTGTCCTTAATATCCTGCAGCCCATAATGATCTTCATCCAAAACTTCTCGTGCCTGACTAATATTGAAGTTCTCCTGACTGTGAATTCCCCAAGGGATACTTGTTAACCAATCCAAATAATTTCGTGTTACACTAATAACAAAGAACAAACCAAAAAAAAATAAGAATTGAGTTTGAACCACAACTTTCTCAGCAAAAACAGTGTTGTGATTCAATGATCAGAGCAAAAAGGAAACAAATCACTATGAATGGAATAACTCAGAACTCTGCCAGATTTGTTTTGAATAATTGAGCAATCACAGTACTGTTGGCAAAAAAGACATGGATATTAGCTAGTGATTTTCACAAGCTGTTAGTTCTTATTGAAAACCATTAATTCTTAATTTAACTTACTTGAATTCTGAAGAATGAGCATCAAGATAGGCCAGTTTAGACAGTTCTTCTTCAATAACTTCTTCAGCATGTTTGGGAACATTAAGATCCTTGATTCTATTCCTGAACTTCTCACCAACTGCTTCTTTGTCTTCCTTCTCTAAGCCAAGTTCTCTTTTTATGATTTTAAGTTGTTCTTGAAGCAAGTATTTCTTCTGTTGCTTGTTAACTTTTTCTTCCACCTGTAAAACGAACATGCCCACTTCTAACAGTTTGGTGAGGAAAACTTCTTACTCAATGGATGGGGAAAAAAATTCCCAATCCAAATTCTAGTGATGATAATAGACCCAAATTTTGTGGTAAATAATCTTTATGTGGTAGCCAAGGTGTTCATTTTATACATTTTCTGCATGGGGTTTCCCTGTAAGATGATCAAATGTGTTTGACAATATTCCCTTAACTTACATGCAAACTTAAGTTGACTTGGTTGCCTAAAAATTCATAGTTTACTTCACCTCTTTCCCAAGCTGTTGTTGCAAAAGGCAGATGGCAAGTTCTTTCTTGAGCAGTTCAAGGGTGAGGCGTAATCGCACTGGAACTTTTGTCTCTTCATAAACTTCCTGCAGGAGTGCAGTTTCAGCGCTAGTGAGTGCAGCACCTGAGATTAACATAAAAAAATTGCATTCTCTTCAACAAATTTACAACAAAGCAACCTAAACTTCAATAAAATCCTGCAGCCTCCCTACCAAAATCAGCCAAATGGACAGGATTATCTGCCACTCTTTTGCCACCCTCAACAAGCTGTGCCAAAAACTCTTTGTATAAAGGATTCAATGAAATAATATCACGTATGGTCTTGATGACCTCTGCAGTCAGTGCCTGTTGATTCAACATTAAAACAGACAATGTGGTTGAAAGTCTTAAACTGAAAAGAACAGTATCTAAATTTTTACACAGTAAGGGTGCCTAAACAAAAAAAAAAAAAAACAAAAAAAATAGATGACTGTCTAATCTTGAGTTTTGCAAAACCTCACTTATGGTTTGTTCTTCACCTACTAATCCCATGGGAAAATTTAGGACTGGAGTGCTAGTGTTTAAGAGAGAAGGAATTCAGAGTCCAGGCAGAAAAATATTCAGGGCAAGGCAATGAACTGACAAAAAACTCAACCAAAATGTGGCATTAGGTGCCATGGAAAGGAACAGACAACAGGTGCAAAGTCAGTGTTGTTTCCACCACCTTCAGCATTGCTGTTCCTGCTATCTAGACCCACAAACAAAGAAGCGGGAAGATGCAATGAGGAAAAATGATTTTTATCTTTCATTTCTAGTATCCTGTACCTTGACTTCCTCAGTAACTTTAAAAGGCTCATGAAGCACATTTTCTACAGAGACCATCAGGATGGGTTTGCTAGGAGCATCCCCTTGTTGTAGGGTGGGGTCAAGAGATCCCTCTGTAATGACAGTAGTGTCAGCAGACTGTTCTTCACTGTGAGAGGGATAATCAAAGATTCCAGTGATTTTAATCCTGAAATTAAAAAAAAAAAAAAATAGATACATGCAGTTAATAAAGCTTTCCAGAGACAGAGTGTAGATGGCACTTGGTAAATGTTCATTGTACATTAAACATGAATCAAAAGAACTTTAAGGAAGCTGAAATTGCACCAACCTTCTATGTCCTAGAACAACCATTCTTATTTTGTCTCCCATGTCATAGAGCTCTGTAATTTGCACGAATGCACCCACTTGGTAGATGTCATCTAAACTGGTTACTGTTTCTGCCTCATTACTACAAATATAATACATTCATTATAGTAAAGTATGTAAAATGTAAATGAAGCATCCTCTGAAGGCATATAATATAATTATAGTTTTACTCCAGAGGCAGATGATATCAACAACATACAACACAGTATAATATCAGCAACTTACACTTATAAACAGGCATATATTCAATTTGCCTCCCAAGTTGAAGTTTTCATGAATTTTCAAACTTTACCTGTCATCCTTTTTAAGAAAAGCACCTGCATAGGGCTGTGCAAGTCTTGATTTTACTCTGATTAATTCCATCAGGGACTTGTCTGTGATCTGTTGAAGAACAGTGAGGGCAATGGTATTTAAGTGACATTTCGGATGTAAGAATAGAGATTCTTTCACTCAATCCTAAAGTAATACTCAAAGATACTGAGAGTGAAAATCAGTTTCACATTATTGTGTAATAACAAATGTAAAAGTACACATATGCTGCTACATATGAGAGTGCTACTAACATTGTAAAATAAATACAGACTTAGTAAATTTTGCTACAATTAAGTGGATAGTTGCATTTTTATCCTGACTAACCACAGAAAACTACATGTACTCATGTGCTAAACAATTTAATTAATATATTATCCAATTTTGCTGGTAAAACTGTTTGAAGAAAAGAAAAACAAAACATGAAAAGTCACATGTGGTCATAAGATTTGAGCTGCTAATCAGAAAAAAGGTAGGAAGGTGTAACTCAAAGGAGAACAACACAAGAGACATGATGCAGTGATATAAAAAGACAAACCTCCATCATTTTAACAAATCGTGGAAAAACTGGGTTTCTGTGAATCGGTAAAAGTGGCACCTCAGGAAACACATCAGGAACATGGACCTGTGCCAAGGCCCCTGCCGCAGGGTCAACCTTAGCCTCGGTCTTATCTTCAATCACCACCTCAGCCCCATCATCTTTTTTGTCCCCTCCATCTCCATCATCACTTCCGTGGCCACTGGCTCCTTCTGAGGACTGATCGCTGCAATCCGAAAAAAGCAAATGCCAGTTGAAAATGATGGTTCATTAGAAAAATTAAAGAAAGACAGCGACACCAGTATCAAGCACACTCATGTTTACCCAGCACCTTGTAGTAAAATTAAGCAGACAGTTATGGAAGAGCCTGTTTAATTTAATTCCCATATTAAGGTATAAAATACCTAATTAAATGATCAATTTCACTTGTAAACTGCATAATACATTCATGGATGATCACTTACCTTGCACCTTGGTTGTTAGAATTCTGAGATTTATTGTATCTTCTTGGAAACAAAACTAAATGACTTTCCTCAAAATCTTTTTCTCTAAAAGAAATAACTGTTAGTGTTGAGACAACATACATAAAATACTCATAAATAGGGAATATTCAAAAGTTTTACTGATTTCCAAAATACACTATATGCATATAGGTTATGGCCCTGAAAAAGTTCCAAATGTTATAAATGTTATACTGATCTCAGCTGAATTGTTTTCTTTATATAGAGATGTTCATCATTTGCTTGGAACAAAAAGTACCTGACTACATGTACATTTCAAACGAGTTGAAAATCACACACAGGAACTTTATTTTGCACATTGCAATGGAATATTCAGCTTTTAATTTTTTAAAGCTAGTCTACTTGTGTTTGCCTTTTATAAAACTTATTAACCCTTTAACTCCCATGAGTGACCAGGACAGAATTTCTCCTTACAGTATCAATACAATATCAACCAGATAAGTGATGAGAAAAAAGAAAAATATATCAATTTGGGGATAATTAGTTGATCCAATACTAAATTCTCTGTACTATCATTATAAGAATTGTATGGTTGACAGTTAGGAGAATTAAAAATTTGATCTTGGGGTTAAAGGGTTGAGGGAGGTGGGAAGGAGGCAAAAGAATGGTTCAGGATAAATCTTAAGTGCTAGTTATCGAGCCACCTACATGTAATGACCAAAATAACACTGATCTGGTTATAAACCAGAAATTAAAATGGAGCAAATGCACACCAACCCTTCCCTTAACCTAAAAATAGTCAACTGACTACAAGTTAGCATTAATGTTGGGTTAGGGGAGGGGTAGGTGCACATTTCCTCAGATTTGCAAAAAAATTACATAATTTCCACTATCCATGTCTCTACTATTTCTGAGAATGCTGCTTATATGTGCATAAGCAGAACAAAAGCCTGTTAGCTGCTCGTAGCAGGAGTAGGGGGGGGGGGGGTTGGCATGGGGTAATAGGAGGACTTAAAGAGAGAGTCTAGCACCCCTAGATCAACCTTTCTTTAAGACACCATTTTGTAACCTTTGATAATACTTTGGTCACCGTAAAAAAAGGCTTTATTCAGTGAGTAATATGAAATAAAATAACTTAAAATTTTGTACTGTTTGTTGCATAATTGCAGAGCACAGGCATAGTAGCCGATTCGGCGAATCATGCCACAAATCGCCAAAACTGTCGATACATGCCTATATATTGTATAGGAGATGTTAGAAGTTCACCTTAGGAACCACTACTGTTAAAAGAATTTATAAAGAGCTATGATCTCGTGGTTACAATACACCATCAAATACCTATCTTTCCATGGCAGCTTGTTGTAAGCCGAACGATCAGCTGATGTGGAGAATGTATGACGTCCTATCAAAACACCCAGGATATGAGGCTCGATCGCTGCTTGGAAACGATCAAGATTGCTGTGAAGCGACGAACTCTTATTTATTCTGTGACAGTACTTTAATGGCCTGCACAACTTGTGATATTTACGGCTTAAATTCTTGCTAAAACATGCTGATGAAATCTTCCGAGCTGCTAACATGGCTGCTAAAAGAGATTTTAACATATCACACGTGCGCTTAGTAACCTCTCCTCAGCCAGCGGTCTTTTACAAAGGTCGTGCGCAGTAGAGTTCAATGCTTATGATGGCGGAGAATTTGGAGCGTGGTCTGTAAGATTTTGCAAAGAAATTCTTCTTGCACTAGGACGTGTTTCAAATAGGCATGAGTGGCAGGATCTACTGCGGGAGACTGCCTCCCAATGCTTCAGAAAAGGATTTAGAATCTCTGCTGAAATCCTTCGGCAAAATTCGTGACATTGATTTCAAGGAGGGATATGCTTACGCCGTTTTCAAAGACTACAACGATGCTGACAGAGCTGTACAAGAACTCAACGGAAAAGAGTTTATGGGCCAGAATATTCTCGTCGAAAGAGCTAAAGATATTAGAAATGGTGTCGGGGGCTATACCATAGCCGGCGGATACACTGCAAGGGTTCGCCAGCCCAAACCACCCCCAGTGCGGACTAACTTTAGAATCCGCGTCGAAAACCTTCCGGCGAGAGCCAAATGGTCTGAGCTCAAAGAGTTTATGAGCGTAGCGGGAGATGTTACTTTCGCAGATACGCACAGAAGAAGGCCAGGCGAAGGAGTCGTTGAATTTTCAAACAAGGAGGACATGATCAACGCGTTAGAGTCGCTTGACAAGCAAGAGTTTTTGGGAAAGAAAATTAGACTTGTCGAAGAAACTCCTCGTTCTACAAGAGAACGGTCTCTCTCAAGATCAAGGTCTCTGTCGCCACCTCCAAAGAGAAAAAGACATTCTTCATCGCCTTCTTTGTCTCACTCAAAATTGCGTCGGTCACATTCACGTGATAAGTCACAGTCGCCCGAAAGAAGCAGTAAAAAGCATTCCCATTCTGCATCGCCTACTCGTTCAAGTCGTCGTCGATCAAGATCACGATCTTCATCAAATCACAAGTCAAAGTCTCATTCTTCTCGAAGAAGAAGATCACATTCCAAGTCTCCTAAACGATCTCGTCATAAGTCCAGATCCAGATCAAGCTCTAAGTCGAAAAGCAAGTCAGAAAGACATTCCTCGTCAAAAGATAAATCACGCAAGAAGAAGAAACATAAATCAAGGTCTCACTCACGGTCAGAGTCACCGAGAAGACGGAGATGATGACAGAAGACTATGATAGAGACAGACAGCTATGTTTTGAAGATGGTAATATACATGTACTACATGTACTTGATCACATTTCTGTTAATTTTTGCTGTACGTGCAAAGTGCTATGGAAATTCTGTTAGGAACAGACATAGTTTTAGACATTTTTTACCAACAGGGTTTCCTGGATGTAATATAACCACTTAAATATTAAGACCAATTGTACTGTATTTTCATGTTCCTTTAGATATTACTAAGTTTGAATTTTCACTTGATAACAGTAAATAGGCTGCACTAGGCAAGTTTAACTCTTTAGCTCCCATGAGTGACCAAGACAGAATTTCTCCCTACAATACCAATACAGTATCAAGCAAACAGGTGAGGAGAATAAAGTTGAAAACTCAACTAGGGGACTACAAGTTGATTCAATACCAAATTCTCCAAACTGACATCATGAGTATTTAATGACAGGCAGTAGGAGGAATTACTAATGAGATCTGGGGAGTGAAAGGGTTAAATGCAAAGAATACTGCAAGAAAAAGGTGACAGTTTATCTCATTTAGTGAATATTTACTATCGTGTAGCACGTAAATGTTGTGGGAGTTTTATTTTGCAGAATGACCATTTGTTTGAATTGGAATTTCAAGGAGGATCTAGTTTGTGCAGTTCTTAGTTAACAAAGGTAACATCAATAACGAAAGGAAAGGTATATTGTTATATGAAATTTCTAATTTGTCAAGTTGTGCAAAGTGGAGCTATATAAGATATGATTTATAAATGGATATTTTGTGCAAATCCAACTTCAAATTGTAGAAATTTAGATATTTTTACTCCATTCAGTTTGAGTGAAAGAAAGTTTTATTTTGTCTGATTTTTTCATCAAATATAAAAATCTAGAACCCTTAAATTTTTTGTGCAGCATTGAAGTTTTGTCTTGTTTCTAACCAGTAGAAACAGATCTTTTTTTTACAGTGAATGACAATAATGAGAATGCATATTTACAACAAGTTATGAGATTTCAATTCATGTATGTGTTTCATGTATCTCAGCATTCACATGTCAAAGGCTTTAGTTTTCTCCACATTATAGGATACAAAGCTCGTTTTTGGAGTTACACATACACTATACTTGTTCTTTGGTTTGCAATTAATGTGTAAATTACATTCACCATACTTGTGTACACTTATTTTTGAAGTATGTCACTTTGCTTTGCTAGTAATAGTAGGGTGTACGTGTCCTTACCAGAATCACAGTTCCTTGAGTGGGGAATACTGTAATGTAGTGCACTCTTTATGTGCACTAATTACATCCTTGTAGTAATCAAAACTCATTCAATAGTGGTAAACAACAGCATATGCTCAAATTTTATTTTGTTTTATTGGAGTTTCTCTTGTTAACAAAGTGAGTTTTTCCCTTTCATGTGATTAAAGGATGGTGTGACTTTTCATTAACAGGTCATAAGGTATGTTTTACTGAAAAAGAAAAAAAAAAAAGATTTTTAAGTGAACTTTCTTGATTCTGGCAAGTTTTTACATGTGCTAGTTAAAAGTTTCCATGGACAAAAGATTGTGTTATACATGGAGTAAGGTTATATATATGTGAAATGACTTGTACAGCTCTAGACAATTTTTAATGGAACATATTAGAGCAGAATCCCTCTATGAGGGCTGTACATGACAGCCAGACCAATGCTGGAAAAAACTGGACATTCCAAGATGGAAGAAATGTAAATAGAAGGAGATGGAGCAGAAGTTGCATATTCTCCACACTTTTCTCTGCACATCACAATGGTATTAACAAGAAGAATGTGGTAAAGATTCAAGAGCTTCAGTCTGTAGTTAGTGATCATTTCTTTTTTGTTCATTATTTAGTGGAGATACTGTAATGAGGAATTAGATACTTGTCTCTGTTAGGGGTTGAAAGGTGTAAATGAGTTTGGTTGGGCCAGATCTAGATAATAAAGTATTTAGCACAAGGTCATGGGATGTGGAGCTCACTGTTCTGCCCATGTGTCATGACCTTGAGCCAAACAACTTCCCATCTGGCTCTCCCACTCAGTTGATAACTACATAGCACTATCAGACTTTCTGCCTCAGGGTATAATTCAAGGAAGTTTTGTTGAATTGATTAACAGTGATCTTCATGCATGGCAAGCAAAATGAGAAAGAAACTGTCTTATTAGTAAAGATAAAGTAGCAATAAAGTAAGATAACTTTCAAAGATGTTATTTGGGAATTCCAGACAAACCCCAATAAACTTGTAAAATGCCAGCTTGACAATTTTCAACTTGAGCTGTTAGTGACCTGTTCTAAGTATCCCTAATTTTGTCCAACTGTTCCTTGTTATCAGGTATTTCTGTTTCTTGAGATAATTATTTTGCCCTTGTAAGCTCTTAGAGTGGATGGTGGTAGTTTATCTAGTACAGCCCATTTCCAAGCCCTCAGTAGTCGAGATCTGGTCCCGAAATAAAGCCCCAAAAACGAGGCTAGGTGCAAATTAGGTTTCGAAGGTACGAAGAAAATAAAGCTAAAGTTTCGAGGGTTACCTCCAAGATTAATTGTTTATCAAGAAAACTGATCGAATGTTCTTTCGTTCTATTTTATTTAAAGAACTGATAAGGATTGGAACGTTTGACGGCTAACCTAAGTGGCATCCCCCGGGATGCTAAAATTACCCAAGACCCCCTTAACGCTATTTCTGCAGTTGCACCGCTTCTTTATAAAATTTCATGATAACCTAAAAGCTACGTGATAAGATATTCTTCAAAATTGTTAGAGTTATTCCCATACTCAAAATCATCAGTAAAAGACGGAGAAGATATAGCGACAACCATTACTAATTACTAAAAAAAATCTGTGATTTCATCTGCACTTTTACGTTTTACACTTTTATACATTGTTTTTACATGCTAGCTGAACCATCCATACCTATCGCCCATGCAGGTTTTAAAATCATAAAATCGATCCTTCTAGACAAAATACAAATAGCTCCATCAATTTCGTTACGAAGAATTTTCTTCTGATCTATATGCTTACTAGTTCAAATCTAGTCTCGGTTCCAGCCTCCTCTCATTCGGCTGTGATAACAACCGTCTGGTAACTTAACGACGCATCTTGCTATGGCGGGGGGAAAAGGAATTTTGTTTGGGGATCACTTGTTTTTCAGGGGAAACGTTGTGGCATTAGTCATCACCATTAGGGTAAAAGAGGGATCATTAGCACTTGACAGAACCTCAAGGGGGAATCAGGTAAATTTTATCGTGAAAAAACCAAATCATCCGTTTATCACCCCCTCTTCCCCTAGACGACAAATAATGACTGGTCCCTTATCGTGAAGGGCTCAAGAAAATACTAGTCGCTATCTTCATTCAAGCTGAGCAGTTCATCAGATGTTCCCGTTCTTGTGACCGCTTTATTTTTAAGATGAGCGACTTTTTGGCGAAGGAAACTGCAACATCGCATTGGACAGAAGAAAACATACTTCTTGAATAACATCATATGGACAATCCCTTTTCCTGATAAAAGAAAAGAAAAAAATGAAATTAACACTATGGTAGGGACGGCAAGTATTTTATTACTGGTAGGTTCTTACAAGGCTTCAACAGAAAACCTAGGCTTTGTATTACACAAGAGTTGTAGTAATTTGCAGAAGAAAAATTGACTTGCCTTCGGAGACGTTTGGAGATAAAAGAACAAAAATAAAATCGTGACATTGTAAACATAATTCAACGTTTCTTTTTCCTTGCAGATTCTTCCACTAAATGTCCTAAATTGTTATCATAAATTGCCGTGCAAGAAATCAAGGCAATTCCTCATTAAACCTGAGTGTTCTACACTCTGATACAAAGTTAGCTCGAATTAGCGCGGGAATCTTCATCCCCCATTTATTCGATGGGCCAATCATAACTAGCGAACGCCGAGAGACTGGGCGCGAGAAGAAGGAAAAACACTCTTCCTCAGCTGCCGTTGTTTATTATCAGAAGCATTTTCTTTTATTAAGATACAAGGGAAAATATTTTGACTCATGATCAGGAATAACGCCTTACAGAATCGAAAGAAGCTTTCCTTTTTTTGTCTAAGTCCCTAATGTCTTAAGGTTTTATTTTAATGTTGGCCGTTATGTAATTTTGCCGATTCCATTTTGAGAGCTGACTACTACAAAAGCTATTTTACGCCGATATTTGGTTGGAATAAAGTAGTGCAAAAAGTTGGTAGATTCCAAGTCCAATCTTCTCTATTGATCTTTGCAAACCTCATTTGCTAATTAAGACGTGCAAATTATAGAGGCCTTTGCAGCTCGCGTGTGTCTTAAAGGCTAACATGCACATTCCTTATGTCATTGTTTACCCAACTTAGGCACTTACCGATGGCAAGCATCAGTACAGAGGCGTTGAGAACAACGAAGAGGATATTCACAAACACAGATTCGTTCTTGCCCTCCTCTTGATTCTCATCCCATTTGGTATAAACTGCACCAAGGCAAACGTCAAAGAAAATGACCCACAAGACAAATGTTTGTAAGCGGTCTTCAAACTTTTCCTTGATTGGTCGGAATAAGGTGTAGAGCACTCCAAAGACGCTGACTGTCAGAACAGTAAGGCTGATTTGAGGGAGGCTTTTGGATCCAAATAGGAAAATCAATGAGATCAATATCAGCTTGCGGTACATCTCTGTGACCTCCCAAAACCAAAATTTCTTCTTATAGTTCTCAAAGAACACTCGAAGTCCGAAAGCAATTGCTTTGTCTTTCTGGGACTCACGGTATTTGTAAGTGAGAAACAAAGCTAGAACTGGAAATCCCACGGGATATATTGCCAAAAGAGAAGCCATAAGCCAATACAAGCTGTGGCGAGGAGTGAAACACTTGATGGAGTAGTCAGCTCTCAGAAGGAAGATACAGTCGTTCTTGTCGTCTGCGAAACACGTTTCTACACACGCACCGGGAAGAGGTAGAATTTGAATAATCGATTTGCTCGTCGTAGGGTAGGTCGTCAACAACAGTAAGAAAATATTCCGATAGCAAGATTTCTTCAAACTTTCAACTTGTGTTCTTTTCTGGCTTTCGCTAAGGTCCTTCTTGTTCATGATGTAGCGTTTTTTAAGAGATAGATACAAGAAAAGTGAGCCAACAAGTAGGACATTCAAGGCAACGATCAATGTGAACTTTCCAAGCTGATCTAAACGCAAAGAAGAATCAATGCAGCTTAGTGGAGCAAACTGAAAAATGTTCCCTTCAAATACTTTTAGAAATTTCTCCACTGAAATCAAAGTGATCGGCCACTTGACTTTCGCCAATGCGGAGAAAATACCAGCAATGACTTGATAAAAACCAATCACAATCTTAAAGCACGACATGACGACATCTGCAACTGTTCGGTTATTCTCTGCACGTTTGGAGTCACCCCAAAGAACCATTAGAAACACAGCAACAAAAAGAACAATCACCAAGATAGACGAGATTATTGTTACAGTTAGGTGAGGACATTTCAAACATGAGTGGAAGCGGAAATAAAAGCCGTTAGAACAGGTTGCACACAAATTCCCTTGATATCCTTGATGGCATTCTGAGTCGATTCCACCCTTGCAGGACTTGGCATGGGGACATTTGAGTGGCTTCGGAAGTGAAGTATTGAACGTTGAAAAGGACTTGTTGTAGTCTGATCCATTAGAATGGATATTGTTAACAAAACCTTTGAAAACGCTTTTTCAGACTGATTGGACCATTTCCAGAAGTAGTTAGGAGCAAGTATTGCTGTATCGTCCTCACAAACAAAGCCGTATGGTGGACATGTTGAGCACGGGCCAAAACGATCCAACCGATAAAAGCTTTGAAGACATCTGCATGCCCGATATCCAGCAGTCTCGTTCGAAAGCGTACCTGAAAATAGAGTGATTTTAAAAATCAATAGGAATACCAATCAGTAGTTGTAGGTGACATAGCATAGAGTGGGAAAGGGTTTTTCACGCACTCACTTCCTCTCTTATTTCATTTGGCTGAGATGTAAGACCTCGCTAGCGACCTGAATTAACATTTGATATAGGTAATCACATGATTTCGAGTGCAATTTGGAATAAATAAGCACGAGTAAATTTTTTTAAAGACTAACAAAATTTCACGAGCCCGTAAGGCGAGTGCAATTTGTGGTCTTTGAAAAATTAACAAGTGCTTGTTTATTCCAAATAGTACCAAAAAAATCATGTGATTACGTTAATAATATACATGCAAAAATACGAGATGGCTTATCATAAATAAGCACAAGCAAAGCGCACGCATCGTGCAAAAATAATTTATTTAAACCGAGCGTTCGGTCAAAACAACCGCGTACGATCAAAACAATAATATGCAATGATATCTTCACATCTTTACGGCGCAAAAAAAGTTCAAAGTCCGGCTAAACAGTTCAAGGAATTGTTCAGTCTGTGTCCGAATCACTTTCGATGAAATGGAATCGTCGTTTCCGAGGTTTAACCATGTTTGTTTTTAATTTTGGCGTTGGATCGCTCGAGCAAAGTGTTAAGCTCGGCGCGTAATTTTCGATTTCCTTGGCAATTCCCTTCTCTAAACACCACTTTTTCCAAACCGACAACCAAAAATCAGTGCTTTTTACAGTGTTTTTGTTGTTTGAGCTGTTTTTCAGCTGCGGTGGCGAAAGAAAACCTACTTAAAACTCCGGCCATTGTTTCGCCAACAATTTTTCACATTTTGTTGCGACATCCAAGGCTCGCATTTGATTGGCTATCTGTGAGTTCTTTGATTATTGACCAATCAGAATGTCTGATTTGTTACTTTCTTTGCGCTGAATTAACCCTCTTCTGCACTGAATTAACTCTCTTCTGCAATTAATCAAAGTCCACAACAATCACACATACACCAAAAAAAGATCAACAATTACTTTTGCCTCGTCCACCTGTTCTCAGGCCGAGTAAAATTTTGGATCATCCATTTTAGATTATCATTATGAAGAAATAGACTTGTTTTGGCTAAATAAGATGCCTGAAACTTCTGACTGTGTAGGAAGTGTCCTCAGGCGTGGTCAAGTTGAAAAAAAGTTACAGTACACAGCAAACATTATATTTACCGTAAGGACATGCCACGCAATCGGTCGCTTTGGTCCCAGGACTATGCAGTGCAGAAACAAATGTACCATTACTGCATCTTTTACAATCAACTTGTCCCATTTCATCCTGATAAAAACCACCTGTAAAGATATCATAGAACAAGCAAGCAGCTTCACAAGTGGGTTACTATGGGCCCATAAACAGGAGTTGTCAATGTAGGAACTTTGAGAAATGTTCTTGATTTGTTTTGTTTTCAGTTAATTTCAAATGGAATGTTTCCTGTAAAAGATCATATTACAATGCCAGTAAAAAATCAACCAATCAATTTAATCTTCTGTAATGTCCCTTTAAATTCTGCTGTCGACGACTTACCCACACTTCGTTCTCTGTGTGATATCCCACCCCCCCCCCTCCCTCTTTATACATGTACTTGATCGCATTTCTGTTATTTTTGCTATACATGCAAAGTGCTATGGAAATTCTATTAGGAACAGACATAGTTTTAGACATTTTTTACCAACAGGGTTTCCTGGATGTAATATAACCACTTAAATATTAAGACCAATTGTACTTATCACTTTTCACTTGATAACGGTAAATAGGCTGTACTAGGCAAGTTTAACTCTTTAGCTCCCATGAGTGACCAAGACAGAATTTCTCCTTGCAATATCAATACAGTATCAAGCAGACAAGTGAGGAGAATAAAGCAGAAAACTCAATTAGGGGACTACAAGTTGATTCAAAACCAAATTCTCCAAACTGACATAATGAGTATTTAATGACAGACAGTAGGAGGAATTACTATTGAGATCTTGGGAGTGAAAAGATTAAATGCAAATAACGCTGCAAGAAAAAGGTGACAGTTTATCTCATTCAGTGAATATTTACTATCGAAAATGTCGTGGGAGTTTTATTTTGCAGAATGACCATTTTTTTGAATTGGAATTTTAAGGAGGATCCTGTTTGTGCAGTTCTTAGTTAACAAAGGTAACATCAATAAAGAAAGGAAAGTGATACCGGTATTTGAAATTTCTAGTTTGTCAAGTTGTGGAAAGTGGAGCTATACAAGATATGATTTATAGATGGATATTTTGGGTGTGATATCCCACCCCTTCCTCCCTCTTTACAAAAATCATCCGACCTTTCCCCTCCCCTCCCACACGAAGGCGATAAATAGTGATTTGCCCCTGAATTCAATTGAGCCAGTCTATTTTTAGGGCCAAAGCGAGCAACGTTTACAAATGATTTTGATTAAGTTTCACCGCTTGTTTCCTTTAACCGCATTTGTTAGTTTTGTGTCAATGACAACGTCAATTATAGTTGCATCTTAGTTCGGCCAATTATGGTCACCTCCACTTTGTAGGCACAGACTGGCTCACTAAGAGGCCAACTGATGTAATAACCGGGTCTCACCCCACTGAAGAACCTTTTTCTTTCTCTGTTAGCCGTAATTTACAATGCTTAGAGCTTACCCTTAGATATGGATGCTTGTTTCTAAAAAATTATTCTTAAAGTCTCTCCATAAACGAAACTTAACCATAGAATAATATTACTCATTAATACCTGCAGGACACTCGACACAGCCTGTTTCACTAGTATAGTTACCAACGGAACAGAGACTGCAATCAGCGCAACTGGAGCCTCTGTACGGAATAGTAGTTACATGGTGTGAGTCACAATCACGGCATTCAAAGCCTGAGCGTTTCCAGCCAGCTCGGAAGGTGCTTTGTTCTCCAGATAAAGTAACATGCAGCGAAGTCGAAGGAGCACATTCTCTGAAGGTTAGAAAATTACAACATATCAAAGGCTCGGTGATACAAAATAGTATGGCTTGCCTATTTTGCGCCAAGGGGGAAACTGAGGCAAAAATTAATTAAGGAAACAGGGAAAAACGACAATATTGGGAGATGAACGAGCTCGAAAAATATGATAGATAACCAACTCAGAGTATTTCCGAACTGGTTCCAAATATCTTACATCCCAGGAGCGCGAGTAACCCCCAAATATAACTCTGCGGACTATTGCAAATGATGGAGAGAAAAACGCATACCAACCATCTTCTGGTCCACGGTCAACTGCTATAGCTTTTTTATTGAGCCAATCGAAATTGAAGAATTGAAATATGCTTTGGTTAGGCCAGGCAGAGGTTTATACCAAGGCTAGCTGTGAATAACCTTTTTTTTTCGAAAAATACCTGCACGAAGTTGGATATTTATTAGTTTAGATGTCCATTATTGAAAGGCTTATAGCGTGTAGAGTAAATTGAATTTAAGGCCTACTTACATTGTCCCCATATATCTTCCTCGAGGCAGCTGAAGAAGATTTTTACACGTCAATGATCTGTCAATTATTAGATTAAGAATAAAATAAATCTTAGTTGTAAAGATTGAAAAAATAACGCAATCATTATGGAAATTGTAATAAGATCAATTAGCTAAGCAGCCTACGTGGCTGAATCCTACTTGGGTTTTAAAAACATAAAAAACAACAACAACAACAACAACAAAATACATAAAAATGGTCAATGGTACAGTAGATAAGGGTAACAGTGATGAAGTCAACGGCAAGGATAATAATGACAATAATGTAATGGCGATACATGAAAGTAACAAGGAGGACTGGCAATACTGTTGTGATTATCTAAGCTATTTGATGTGTATAACTTCCCGTCTTTACTTACACCTTAGTATTGTTTGTCATTTTGTCGAAAATTCCATCTGGCAACAGTGGTAAAGGATTGTCAAAAATGGTTCTGAAAGTGGAATACTAATTCATTACACAGTTGATGCATTTCTGGGGTCCCAGACAGTGTTATATGCGCTGTTTGTTTCTTTTTCTTATAAGTGTTTTGGACTTTTTGAGTATCATCTCAACGAAAAAAAAAATAAGACACCTTCAAGAGAAGGCAAAGGGTTTGTAAGTGATGTGTGATTAATAAAGGCCAAAATTAACGCGATGCGTAAATTTTTTACAGAAGCGAGCGTGATTCGTGAACTAATGTCAGCCTGGGATATGATTTGCCTCTTGAAATATATAGGACCCGTGAATTTATTTAGTCCTTGCCCGTAGCCTTGAAGACAAGAAGAGAGATTGCAAGTTTTCTCATTCAAATACGTGACGTGTGAATTTCTGCGTGAAACGGGATCAGGTACTCCCCATCCCCCTCCCTAACTCTTTGCTACCCTCCTTCGAGTAACCTAAAAGTGACTATCTTTAAATAAGGGAACGGTAAAAGGGGGAACGGTAAAAGGGGGGTAAAAGGGAGAACGGTAAAAGGGGAAACGGTAAAAGGGAGAACGGTAAAAGGGGGAACGGTAAAAGGGAGAACGGTAAAAGGGAGAACGGTAAAAGGGAGAACGGTAAAAGGGAGAACGGTAAAAGGGGAAACGGTAAAAGGAGGAACGGTAAAAAAAAGGAACGATTTTACGAAAAGATTCTCCGTTTTAATTAAAGATTCCCCCTTTTAAAGGTTCCAGCTTTTAAAGGTTTCCCCCTTTTAAAGATTCCCCATTCCCCGTTCCTTGTTTTAAAGATAGCCATTTCAACAAAGAGGTTTAGCTTGAGTCATGCGAGTAAATTAATTAGTTAGGAAGATTTAGCACCGCGTTTACGGGAAGCGGCAAACTTAAGCTTGTCCTTTCACGTTCCACATAAACCTTACTGCTTTAGCTTCGTGTAAGCTCGCGTCACTTCGGTTGTGAAATGATTTTAATCGTGGAATTTCATCTACCCTTGTATCACCTACAAGAAATAGTTTTGACCAACTTTTTTTCCAGGAATTAACCTCTTCTCGGTGAAAGAAAAAGGGAAGAAAATCTTATGTACTAGGTAAACGGCGAAAGTGGACACTCGCCGTGGCCACTCTTGCCGTGCGGTGATAAATCTCTCCTATGTATTGCATCTCAACTTTTAAGCTGCAGTTTGCTTACAGCTGCCTCAGAACAAGTCTGTCGAAGCTTTTGCTTTCAATGGTTTTAATTGCATTACTGTGAAGAAACCTGAAGAAGAAGAAAAAACCATTTCGGTGAAGCAAAATCTCCAATCGGGAACAATCATGAAAATATCGTATTAATGAATGATGTAATTTGCAAACAAATAAAAATGATAAAACTTGCATGAGTTATTAGCATCAAATAAAAGCAATTTTCAAAGCCATTTCCACCATAAAAACATTAGTTTATTTACCAAACTCCCCTAGTTATGCACTTGATACCTAGAAATTTGCAACATTCCGTAACATGGAGTGAAACTTATACTTACAGTGACTTGAGAAGGGGAGTGCCATCAAAAACGTCTTTGGCAATAAATGCCAGATTGTTTTTGATAAGCATTCTGAAAATAATAATTCAAAGGAAACATGAAACCCATAAGAAAGTAATGTCGCATGTGAAGTTTCATTCACAACAGATAAAGAAATACGAATAGTTGAATTATAGAATGAGACTGGTCAATTCGTTTATTTGAAATTATTCATAGTCTCCGGATATGGTTACGATAAAATAACTCCTATAAAATTGACATTTAATTCATTAAAATATGGGTCTCGTCTTCTACCTTTAATTTGTAAACAAGGAAAAGCGACGTGATATTTCGCCTAAATTTATTTGTTTTTCGTGTTTGCGTAGCTTCTTCTGTTTAATGAATTCCCAAAGTGTTCAGAGGAGAATATCCACATGTGTTTTGACTTCTATACTGTTTATAGAGGTTGTTATCTAAACTACGAGTGAATATAGAACGTCATACTGTGTTTATATATTCTCATCAACACGGCAGTCAAACTTCTGTGCATCTGCGAACGTTTTCAAGGCTAGATGGCGCACTTTTAGGCTTTCAACACAAGTTGTTTAAAGAACAACCACACAAGCGAGTAAGTCGCCATGTTGGACACCGTACAACTTTTGTGGTAAAGCTCAACATAAAATGGCACTTCAGCAGCAAACCCGTAATCAAATAAGCTTTGAGAACGAAAAGTTTCTAGTCTTCCCTTTCCCCAGTTTACTTCCTTTTACAGATTAACAAGGTGTTTCAGAAGTACGTTCTGATTTGTTTTCTTCTAAAGTTTCATCATTCATTGAAATTAATATTAGAGAATATCAACAATTTTGGGAAAGGAACAACATACACAAATGGCGCGAAAAATGACGGGAAAACGCACGCATGCAGATTAGTAACAATTGTAACAAATTCTCTGCTTCAATTTATTGATAAAATTCTAACAATCAATTGATTTGTTGAGAAAACTAACAAGTTCAAAAATCGGAACGAACTTTCGAAACACCCTATACATGAATGTATTACTGTTTTGTTGTGATTTTTTTTCTCGCGTAATTGGCGTGACAGCGGTTGTTTGTAAAGTTTTTCTTAGAGCCTTGGAGTGGGAGCTTGCGCGCGGCTGACCAAAATTTACCCCTTGCGCATGCCCTATGTTTTACAGCTACATAGTTCTAATCTAGACAAATCTATGTTTATCATTTTTCGAAACGCCTAATAAACTATTAATATATAATGTAAAACTTATTGGGCCGGTTATTTGAACAAAGTTTAGCCGTTGTTTAACAAAACTGCGTCATAAAATATCCTGAATTAAGCTGAATCTTTCATCTGAACATTCACTCTGTGAACAGTGTCACGAGGGCCGAAAACTGGCAGTTGAAAGACATTCATGGAATAAAAACAATCCAATCATAGAGGAAACGTAAGCCCCTCTCCTTGCATGTAAGAAAGGGGTTTGGGTTAGACCCGGTGTAAATCAGCTAAGTAACTCCTTCGTTCGCTACACTACTGTGAACCAAAACCTCTGTAGCAAACTTACAGTGTGTTCAAATTGGAAAGTCCACTAAAGGTGCGTTTATTAATGGAAGTGATGTTGTTGAAGCTAAGCATCCTTAAAGAAAAAGTAAAAGAAAATTTTAAGAAGTGAAGTACACAAAGGGAGAAAACGTATATACATCGGAATAGGTCCTATTCGATAAATTACATAGAGATATAAGCCCATAACGCACGCCTCATGATATTAAGGCCCGCTCAAAAATTAAACGCACGCAACACTTCAATGCAACATCTTGCATCATTATTGGATTGGATATTGCCACAATGTCGTGCGCCACAATGTTGCAAGATGTTCAGCTGAAATGTTGCGGACGTTAGCCAGGCCTTTATACGCTATATTTATCATTTGAAGAACTGTTTTTTTATTCCCTGTGGGACATGCATAACTTGTTTCATTACACTAGTATGGCTTATTAACTTCATGTAGTTTGTAGGCAACAAAACTGAGAAAAAGGAATTGATAGTATATGAATCCTTTATGGGGCAAATGACCAGGTACACGGAAAAAATGCAGAGAATTATTAATTTGGTTTACATTGGGTGGCTAACATTCCCATCGCTCTTTTTAAGGGATATGGAAATTTTGAGTCGATAGATTACTGAATGTATGCGTCGATTGGGAGAAGTAAATTGAATGTTTTTTCAAAATTGCCATACTTTTCCCTTTTACTTACAGAATATATAATTTGTCGAGCTTATCAAATACGTTATCTGGTAATGACTGCAGATTGTTGAACGACAAATCGCTATAAAAAGATAAGATGAATAAAGTTATTAAAAAGAAAATAAAAACCCAATTGCTCTTTCTGAAAAAAAGTTTAGAAATTATCATATGCAACAAACATATCTACAATTTGTAAGTGGACTCCGATTTCAGTATTCCATACATCGTATTACCAGTGGCAGATTTAGGGGAGGGGCCCAGGGAGGCCGCCCCTTTTATTTTGAGTAAAAAAGCAAGAATCGTAGAAGGAAGAAAAGCCAGTGGGGCAAGCGACAAAAACCGGGCCCCCCCTTACCTCACCATAAACCCAGTGAAAATAATAGACCCCGATCGCGAGTAAAAATAGAAAGTTGTATCGCGTCCGTTTTCACCTAGTATTACGTCATTTCACGGGCAAAAATATCAAAAGACAGTCGCAAGATAACAACTCTTTCTTGGTTTTGTTTTTAGTTACTTACAGGTTTGCTGCTACAATAGTTTTCTGAAAGATGTTTGGTGGTAGGTACTCGATCTTATTGTTACGTAGATATCTACGAGAAAAAAGAAACATTCAAAAAATTTCATTCCTTGCGCAAAATCTTAAAATACTTCCAGTTAGTACCTGTCATACTAGTTCTAGGGCTAAAGTGCTCTTCACCTTAGCCAAACCTTTGCTTGATGCATGTAAACATATTAAAAAATGCTGTGTCCCTCAAATTTCCAAATGGAATCATTCGATGCTAAGAGAATCAAATACTCACAGTTCAAAAACTATTTGAATTCCTGGTGTTACGATTTTCGTTACATCTGTGATCTGGTTATTTTCTAAGTTTCTGAAAAAAGAAAGGTCATAATGCAGAAAAATCCAAGTTGTGAGCGCTGATTTAAAATTCACTTTGATATTTTGACGATAGATAGACTCTTGTTTAGTGATTATATTTTCCTACAATTCGTGATGACGGTAAATTTTCCAATTTTTACCGTATTAGTCCAAGAGGCATTTGGCCTTTCGAATTTGTACTAATCTAACTAGTAACGAGGTGAGTATAATCATGACAGCAACCCAAATCCTTTGGCTGACGAACTTAGTCTATTTCGGGTTCAAATCCAGTTCAGGCCTTATTTTCACGACTATTTAAGTAGTGTTCATAACTGCGAGAATCGCTTCCATATTCGTTTCTTCAACCGCGTTTCACATATATGATTTTCATATATTTACCGTCATTTATTCAATACTTCACGGGTTTATTTGGAACCAACATATTTATTTATTTTGAACCAACATAATAACCAGTTCAACAATTTCGTCGCCGATTGTCGGTGGTAATTTCGAGAAACGATGATGAAGGGACCAAGACAAGAAACTGATTGCATGACTTTGTTGGCAATGGGACAAATTATTTCTAGGCAACTTTTGCTTGCTAGTAAAGTCGGAAACAGGCCAAACTCTTCGATAAACTAAGTGCTTTCCTTCAAATGCACAAACCATTTTGTCCAGTCGGATCTTGGTAAATTCCAGATCCCTTGTCCTACCACCTAGGTACACAATGATAACAAATCATAGCAACTTACACTTGTCTGGAATATGCAAGACGCTTCAAATCTGGAACGGATGTCAGGTTGTTATTCCTCAACGAACTAAAAGATTCAGAAAATTGGGAAAAAAAGACACAAACAGTTGTAATGATTTGATTATTAAGCTCAGGTTCTCTTTCAAAGCAAATATATTTGGTTTTGACTTCTCCAGTGGAAGAAATCCACTCAGTTGGCTAGTCTCCAAGGAAGCAATTGTTTGATCACGTCACGAAACTCACAAATGGTGTTGTGTGACGAGAACAAGCACTGAACCCTCTGATTGGCCAATTAAAAGAATTAACAGAAAACAAAAGGGACAGGTGCAAACACTACCAAATAATACCCCCTTCCCTTTCCTACTCAGGTTAATTAAGGCCTGGGTCAAAAATGGTTTTCGCCTCCAGTGCCCCCCCCCCCCCAGCAAGGTTCGCGGAATTCGCGTGGACTGCGCGAGTAACCATAGTTACTTGGAATCAAGATCGCGTAGTTCGTGAACGGCATCCGCCATTTTGAAGTGTCGGCTTTGCATTGGTTTTTCCCATCTTCGCCGGTGAATCCGACAATTTAGAGGAAAACATCAAAAGAAGGTAATAGCATTTTCTTTGCTATCTTAATTTCCTCAAAAAATGACTTGATATCGCTATCTTAACGCCAAAGAGAACCCTTTTGAACCTACGAAGACTTCTAAACACCGCTCTCAACATGTTCATTGACTTCACTGCAAATACAATGCAACATGAATTTATAATATAGCGCTCATATCTAGAGCTCAATAGCGTTTTACAATGTTTGTAACTGATGCATAGAGAAAAGTACCATGTTTTGTAACAAATGCATAGAAGAAAGTTTCATTGTGGATAAACCATTCAATTTTGAAATTAAATTTAGCTTGATTAATCTTCTATCATATCATGATATGTATACTTATGGTGTCTATCAAAATTCAGGCTTTTGAATGTTTTGGAACAATTTCTCCAAGAAGCAGATGAATTTACTTACAAAAGTAATCCCCCAAAGCAGTTGTTAGGTAAGTTTAATTGCTTCTGAACACTCGCGTGTCAAAATGGCGGACACTAAGTTGAATACGTGACTGCGGGTTTTCAAAATTCCCACCTCTTAAACAGTTTTAATTTGTCTTTTTTCCAAATAAATAGGAACCTGTAGGATTACTTTCATTGACAGCGGTTGGAACCAGGTAAAGGCTAAGATGTTTTCGGGCGAAAACCATGATAGAGGAAGCAGCTTCGCAGAGACAAAACTTGATTTAATCTGCCTAACACATCTCTCTTTTTTTTGGCAGCCATTCCAAGTGGGAAAACAATGAAAAACGTCTCAAATATTCATAGCGATAACTGCATTTTGATTTGCCTTGTGTTTAGTGGTGGGAATTTGCTCAAGAAAGCAACCGACGAATTTGGCGCCTAAATTAGCTGTTTTTGGCTGTTGAGAGTATCATATTACACTGCCATCCGAGAGAGATGGTAGTGATACACATTTCTGCCAAGTATGAGAAAAATCCCTCGCAAAATAGCTAAGTTATTCTCAATTTTGTGAAAAAATATGGGTTAAAGGCAGGGTGACCCAGGCCTTAATTAACCTGAGTAACCCTGAAGTGTTGACTTCATGGTAATGCAGTGAATTAGCGTATTTCACGACTAAAGATTGGGCCAATTACGAAATGTGACCAATCACAGTCCACGCTCATTGATCCATGACCAAAGCAAACCTGAGCGCTATAGCACTGGACGAGGGTGGGATGTTTTTCCCCTATTCTATATTAACTTTCAATTTTAAAACGTTCAAAACGTGTCTTTTACTCGTATCATCTTTAACTCACGTGAATTACATCAGATAGAGTAAACAAAAGAAAGATAAACTTGGAACCCTAGAGGTAGAGAGGCCCAAGAAAATGGCCGTCAAGTTTTTGGAAATGGGTCTTAAATGGAGCAGTCGGTTCGATGTAATTTTGCTATTTGGAGCTCTCTGTTGAGCAAATAACAGCATAAGATTATAACTCTTCTCAAATTAGCTTTTTTTTCCACAGATCATGCTTGAATAACGATACTCCCTTTTTCCGTTCTGTGAGTTACTTACCATCTTTCGAGAGAGATAAATTGCTTGAAAGTTCCGTCACCTATCGTCTTCAGTCTGTTATGTTCAAGTAACCTATAACCCATTAGGAAAATATTTACAAGTTATTTACCCCAATGAGCCAAGCTTTATATGCTTGAACGCGAGCAAAGGAAACTGTGGCTGGAATATGGAATCGAAGCTTTCAGAGAAACTTCCCTATAACCTTGGAACGTGACAAACATACCACAACAGAAAAAGAAATCCTTGAATATAATGTTACTACTGTTAGTGTTATTCGAAAAAGTTTGCAATCCTTCCTAGACTACTCTTGACCTTAGAAACACAACCTTTCATACTAAGTCACCTTCAAAACGGTCGAGAGTCAATAAAAGATACAAAATTGCTCCACGCCCGAAGTTCGACCATGTTTTCGAACAGAAACAATAAATTTCTTGGCTCTCCACGATGAAGGTTGAGGACTCTTATGCCTTTCACCTCAAACTTGTTCTCAGGTTTGAAGCATATGAATACAATTAGCTTGAAAGGTCAAATTTCAAAGGAAGGAAATGGAATTTTTCCACAGCAAATGGGTGCCGCCAGGCATATCAAACTTATTTCCCATAAGCGTGAACATTTGCTCTAATTGGCGTCCAGGCTGGCGCGAACAACGCTTTCCCTACTGCGCTTGCGCATCAGAGTATCAATCGCATTGGTGACAATTTACATTTGTAAACATGGCGGCTGCAAGGGAAAGGAGAGTCCCAAAACGATACCCCGATGAGGTCTTTTCAACTAGGCTTTTATTCAAGAAGAAGACAAGAACAAAAACCAACGACCGTAAACTTTCATCCTGTCCTTGTGACAGTCGTAGACAAAGTCGCAAAGCGAGTCAAATTCACCACGTTGGAATCTTTGGGATCTTTTTCAGTTTGTGATACTTGCAGCTTCTCTCTGTGTCGTCGAGCCCTTCCTCAAGTTTCTGTCGCTTGGTAGTTTCGTATTGTAAAGATTCTTCTAGCGCTCGTTTTCAATAAAGTAATTATCTAGCTCGTTATAAAATAACTTGACAGAATGATTATTTTAAGTTTGGTCGCGCCATTTGTCAGTGAGCCTCGACATCAAAACCTCCACTTTTCCTCTTGCTCGCTTTGGCTTTGCACACATGGTCCCAATCTTTTTCCTGAAGACATTTGTTATTCGATTGTTGACGACGATGCCTCTAACGCCCGTTTGTTACATGGTTTTCTCCACAACTACAGCGCAGGTAGATTCGCCACTTCCCTCTCCATTCTCTTTGGCAATTGTGTAGAGAAGATAGCTGAAATTGTTAAACACGACTGGTATCAGACATATTCGAGACTTACTAGCAACAAATGCCGTACCTCCGGGAACAAAAGGAAAAAAAAATCAAATCGCTTCATTTATTTATGAGACTACTTACTTTTTCATACTGCATGTAAACGTGGGTAACGAATGGCCGGAAAATCATCCTGTTATTGGACCCTCTGATCTTTCTCCCACGGCTTTTACGGATCCGTAGAAGACCAGAAGTAAAACCAGTGAGAGTGCTCCAACTTGAGCGGCCATTTGACCCATCTAAATCGGTTGCAAACTAGACGAATTATATACCAAAATAAAGAAAATTTCTCGCTCCATTCGAATGTGGCAGTACAATTGAGATTTGAACATGCGCGAAAGAGCTAGGACCCATTCTTACGGACTAACCCTGATACGACACTCTGAACGCCTTCGTAAATTGCCTTATCGGAATATTAAAAATTGAATTTTGATTCCTTAAAGCTTGAAGCTTTGGTATTTCAAAATAAGTTATAAATTTTTTTTGTTGGTAAAATTAATCACTATCAAAACGTCTCTTAGTAATCGAGCCAAAGGTTCCAGATTTTGTGTGTTCTAGAGACACAAAGTAGTGGGGGCGGGGTCGCCCAGATTTGATGTAGGCTTTTGTTAATTGTGAGTTTGATATGATTTCCATAATTTCACATTTTTTTCAAAGACTGATGGTCTATAGTTACCATACTTACAAATTAGCGAGGTTATCCGTAAGTCCTTCCAATGTACCCTTGTCTATATGTGTCAGCTTATTATAAGACAGTCTACTGAAAACCGAAAAGTTAATCATGATATCATTGTCATTGTCATGTCATCGATGTCATGTCGCATAATAAACTGAACAAAGCATTACGGGTAATTTAGTACTATCAACTAAGTTGATAACGTAAATTGGCCATCGTTAAGGATTTAAAAACTGACGTTTCGAGCGTTAGCCCTTCGTCAGCGAAGTAGTACCAGATAACCCTGTTAAACTCTCCCACCGAAGCAGCACCACAGTTTCTTTAGAAACTTACATAGTCCCTTTAAACAAGATATTAGCAACGTAAAATTGCGTGCTGTTGGTTTTCTGCGGTAAACTTGATTACCACTTGTCAAGGATGTGATAAGTGAGGTGTGCCCGATTTAGAACTCAGTACCAGTGATTTTAACTAGTTTAAGGAGGTGTGTCTACATTTTAATGAAATAAATTTATTATCTTCGCAATTAAAAGTGTACTTGTTAATTCGAAAGTGAACTCCGCCACTTGAATCTTACCTTGCCCACTCCTCCCCCTTCCTAGCCTCCCTTCCCCCCATAAACTTGACGCTTGACGATCAATGAGAATACTTGACCCAGAGGAAATACAACGCAGTAGCTGTTTGTAAACCGCGCCATATGTAGTTTTGCGTGCGTGGACAGGTTAAATAATTGTCTTGGAAATGGTGGCGCCCATATTAGCTCTTGTAGCATATTTGAAGAAAATTTTTTTACCTTTTTGGAATATGAAAACATACCGTCAAATACTACTTACAGGTCTTGTAATTGTTGCATCGACCGAAAAGTTCCATTTTGTATATTCTCCAAGTCGCAATTTTCCATGGAACTACATACAAAAGTTATTGAAAAAAAAAAAAAAAATCAACACAAAGCAGGTTGGTGCTGTAGAAAAAATTGAGCAAGACTGAGATCACGTTATCGAAAGTTTCCTGATTTAAGAAACTGCCTTCGGGAGAATTTATTTTTTTATTTGTCAATGAATGTCTGTTTTTGAAATGTAGGTGTCTTAATTAAGGACACTGTTGGAAATTTTCTGTGAAAAGATATGAAAGAATATCTTTCATAAGCCAAGTGGAGAGGAATTATCTTTTATTTCAAAACGCGCTTCTACTGAACAAGGCCCTTATCTAACTCTATCTTTTGACGAAACCTTCAAGCAAGTCAACTCAGCGATGGTCATGACCAATAATTTGCCGTTCCATGCATAGAGCAATTTTCAATTGAGTGTTAAAATTGAATCCAAAATTTTGTTTTGGTTTTGCAAAGTCAGTCTTTGACTGATCTACACAGCTCGCATCATCCATATAACCTATCAGATGCAAACGAAAACCTATCGTGACTTGGTCGCCCGCGTTTTCCCGCGTTTACCGAATTTGAGTTTTCACTTTGAGTGCTCATTGGTTGTTGATGATGTAAACCTTTGTTATGATTGGCCTTTGTGGTTACTTTGGTTTTCGTTTTTCTACAGTCAATTAAAAACTGCTCTGCTACAGAGAAAAGCAATCAGAGTTCGCTCGCTCGCTTGCTCGCAGTCCAAGTGTTGCAACCAACTTCGGGAATAACTATATCATGAGACAAACATTAAAACTTTGTTCTATGGTGGTGATTTGTATGTTGAGCTACTTAACTTACAGATATTTCATATCGTTAAAAACAGCAAAGATATCTGCTGGCAGAGATGGTCCAAGTGGATTTGAATTAAGGTATCTGTAAAAGTGAACCGTTTGCAAATTGCAATCAGTAAAAACTCTCTTCTACATTCAGGTAGGTCGACATGATATAAAAACAGATGGCAAATATCCGTGCTTAATAAAATGTGACGAGTGATATAACAAGATACAAAAGCAATAATTGGCAGAATAATGATAACGCAAGAGATCGAGGATAAGGTTTATTCTCTCTTGTTATAACATTATTTTTAGGATAACTATATCTTAATTACATTTTTTTTATAGTTTTTTTCCGGATGAAAAATTACACTTACAGTTTCCGAAGCCGTGTTAGTCCTTTGAGAATGACCCTTACATCCGCAATTGATATTAGGTTGTGTTCCAGTTTACTAGGCAAATAAAATACTTAAAATTAATTAGCTTTTTGATGAATTTAACGGCGTTATGATGACTCACGCAGCCTCATTCCATTTGCGTCACTGTGTCTCATCCATGAACAAATAACATCCCTTTTTTTAATGAGAATGAGCTAACGAGAAACATCAAAATAAACAAGACAAAATAAAACACAGTATGACTTTTTTAAGATGGCATGCATAGGTAAATCTGAAATTTACGATGAACTTTCATCTACTTTAATTACTCACAGTATAGAAAGGCTTGGAGGAAGGTAAAAATTCCCTGAAATTGAATTCCTTTCCAGATTTCTGGAAAGAAAATGTCAGCGAATGTTAGGAAATGAAGACTAGGTAATTAATTACCTCAATACATTTTTTTCGACTATACGATGCAAATTTACTGTTGAATGCAACTATTAGAAATTCCCTTACACAATATACAGCTTCTTCATATTCTTGAAAGTGTCTTGTGGAATGTGCCGCAATGAGTTATTTGGCAAGGCTCTAGGAAAAAAGAGCACACAAAAAGGCTAGTCATGATCAGGTGCAAAAGTTTAAGTAAGCCAAATGTTCCCCGCTAATTTACTGCGCTTTCCTTAATTTAAAAATCGTTTGGAGAGGAACATTTTCCAAGTGCAAATCCCTCATTCTGATTCGCTAAAGTTGTAGGCATCTATCAGTTAAAATTATTGAGTTGCTAACCAATGGTCTTTTTTGCGTTTACAGTTGACTCGGGAAATGTTTTGTCATCTGGGGAAGTTCCTTTTCTAACTGTTTCAACAATCCTGCCTATTTTTCTTGATACTTTACAGTTTTATCTCAATTACTACTTACAATTCCTTCAAAACAGTCAAGTTCCTAAAAGTGTCTTCTGAAATTGTGTTCAGGGAACAACTCGAAAGATCTCTAAGGAATAAATTGAACATGGTTAAAAGAATGAAAATGATTAAAATGCAATTTGCAGAGTCGACGTAAAAGATATATGTTACCTTATGAGGGGAGTGTTATTGAGAGGTCTTGAATCGATGCCACATAAGAAAAAATAACGCAAAAGATCTCAGGAAGGTGTGAAATTTCAAAAGGAGGCAATAGCATGCAATTTACGCAAAGAAAGAGAATTTGTAGAGGAAACAGGATCGTGAATATCTTAACTCTAAGTGTAAGAGTTCGTATCGAAACTATGGTGGTGTAATTTCCCCCAAACTAGAGATGAGTGAGATGTGTAATTTTGTGAAAGAGAAATGTGCCTTATAAAAAAGTGGGTTCGTACAAAAAAAATTTATCGTTATAGGTTATCAAGAATTGGGGTGAAATTGAATTAACGAGCTGTTAAGTACATAGAGAGAACATTCATGAAAGCTAACAAAAATTCACAAGTTCAATTGACGCCAATTTCTTAATCGAAGCTGGGGGTGCGATTGTATTAACGTGGCGAATACTAATTAACAAATAGAGAAGCCTTGACTGTGCTCTGTTCTGTTATAAAGCACGCAGGAAGCGGCTAGAGCACGAAAGAAGTGTAGAGGTCGAATTTAACACTTTTGCCTGAAGTTTTTAAGTCTCTTATACAGAATCTTGAAGTGAAATTTGCAGTGAAATTCAGCTGAATTATGGCTCATAAAAACACGCGAGGTTTTTCACATGACAAGGTAGAAAACAAACTGTTCAAGGCGAGCGTTTTGAATGAACGACAGACGAATTCACCGGAACATGAAGATCGCTCGGGATGACAGCGCCGCAAAACTCGGCTGCAGTGACTGATGTGACTTTCCACTCAATGCATCGGAAAGGATATCAGAGCAAGCTCTTATTTTTTCACTCGAAGGGCGGCCGACGTAGTTTCTGAGGCTTGCTTTACCTTGATGACCGGAGATCGCCATGATGAGCGAGCCGCGATAGACTTCAGCATAATCATATTCGCTCAGACACCGTCATGATTAGTATGAATTTTAACAGTTATGCCAGATTGGTTATATTTTTCATCATTTCTGTTTTGCTCTGTTTTGTTTTGAACACTAAACTTTATATACTATACGAGTGTTAGCTGTGTTTGATTTTTATTACCGTACGTAAGCTTGCGATCCAACTGAGCGTGAAAATCTTTAAAACTCGGAATGTCTATTTTGTTTTTCCTTTGAGGATTTTCGTATCTGCTCACGTTTTAATAACGTAAATCACGGTGCCTGGTATGTTTACAAACATTTGTTTGGTTCTTCTGTTGCTACTTGCCGGCTCGCTTGTTCCGAAATTTCACTTTCCATTATCGGAAAAAAGCTAAAAAGAAGTCCCGGAAAAGGTCGAACATAGTACAATTTGGCAGATGGCGTGACAGCTTTAGCTCAGCTCTATGCTCTATACTCTCATAGAGAACGCTCTTTCAACCAATGACAGTGCGCGTTATATCCGAACTTTATTATAAAATGAAATGTGCTTTCGTGCGAATCGAGACGACTGGTTATATATTGTGATCAGTGTGGTTTTTCCTATGGTAAATTTGTGTATGCGTTTTTTTTTTGTGTGTGTGTGTGTGTGATAGGTAACATACCAAAAGTGACGATGACACGTCTAGAAAGAACAAGGACGATTAACGTTTTTACATCACTTACAGTGTCAATGTATTGTTTGGGATTTTGGCCGGAATGGGTCCATGAAAATGACATTTTACTCTCACCAGGGCGTGGGTCCTACCAAATTTAAGGCATTTACAGATTTCAGTCAGGCTGCAAACGTCACTCTCACATGGTGTTACAAACCAAAAGACCAAGATGACTTGTATCAGGCCAAGAAACATCATTACAGAGTCCAAACTAGGTTTCTGGTAACAAAAGTTACAACATCTTCATTTCTAGATTAAGAACTAAAAGCAAATTCATTTCCGTTAATTGTCCTTTTAAAGCAGCAGAGCTTTGTCTACCAGGCAGATCTCTCGCGAAAGTTTATCGACATTCGTGCGCATTACTGACATTTTTCAATGCTTCAAGTTGGGAAATAAAAGGGTAGCAGTCCACTGATGTTTCTCTTTCAGTAAGATGAACGGTCATAAAAATTGCTAAATTAGGTTCCTCATTAGATGGACAATAAAGAGACAGATACGCTATTGTAAAGGCTCTCTATCGTGAATGTTACCTGTATCTTTCCAACAGTCATGAGACGGCCAGTAACTTACCTCATATGAGAGTTTAAGGTTCTTTGTAAGACGCATTGAAATACCCACAATCAGGCCGCTAAGTATCTTTAATTGCAACTTTATAAGAAATGGGAAGTTGTAAAACTAGCTTGCGTTTTAAATAAACCATCTTCCGTTTAAAAGGTCGAAAGCAGATTCAAGGGCAATGTCCGTGCGTTTTTGAATAAATTATTTATATATAGCATAGTTTCGAACCATCCCTGTTTGTTTTTGATAAGAAATATCTGATTGATTTTAGAGATATTATTGGCTGATGTATTATGGACGGTTCACGGTGAATTTTCGGCCCTATATTGATTGAAGTATAATAAACCCAGAGAGAAAGTGATTCATACATATTAGAGACGACTAGGATTTTCACATATCATGTTTACAAAACTGATTTGTTGACGTTAACTTCCTGTTCATGCCAAAGCCAGTAGTCTTTGCTTTACCATCCGGTTTTGTTTTCTTCGCATTGATACCGTTTGGTTTCGAGCCGTTTTCAAATGATAATTGAGGAAACACATCTTGATTCAGGGTTCGAATCTTGAAGCCAAGCAAAAAAACGCAAGCGATCTCTTCGGCAAAAAAATTGAAATTCTCAAGCGTAGGTAAAACATCTAGAGGAGGTTGCACACAGCATCGAAGGTTAATCTCTCCTGGTAAGTTAGTGGTGCAGTAAGACATTGGAGTAGTATTCATGTTCATAAAATTTTGGTGACAATCCTCGTTCTTATCTTAGTGTTGCTAAGTATCCAGTTCAAGCATGGAGATTTCGTGTTCCAACATTAACAATGGGAAAAAGTTGGAAATGTTTAAATTTAAAAAGGGTTCCAAATCCTTCTCGAAACTTCCGTTGAAATTAAACCTAACAAAATGTTGAGTCACGCAAAAAACGTATTACAATGCCTGAATAAGCATCCTTCAATTGCTGACCTAAAAAAGGGCATCCTCAAACTTAAACAATTGCACACTGTCGTTGTTCCTACAATAGGATTTGCGTCAGCTTTCACACTAGCTGTTAAGTAGACTTGAGTCTTCTACTGTGAGTATTTTACTTCTTTGCGATAATTTTGCGGTGTCGGCCTTCTATGTTTTTGAAGGGTCGTTATTAAGTGTGTTCATCAGATGCTACAGTTGTATCCGATTGCTTTCCGTCTTCAACGTCTTCGGAAAAGAACTGTTGGCCTACCGGTATAAATGATTGAATTTTCCTCTTTCAAGTCCATCAAGTCAGTCTTGTCCTAGAACCTTCTGGAAACTTAAGTGTGTTCGAATATGCGAAGAAAACAGACGTCTACTGCTAGCTTACGGAATATGTTAAAGAGAACAGTTTCGCCATGGGAAATTGAGGAAAATTGATACGAAAACAGACCATAAGAAGCGCCAAGCAGATAATAATGAAT